CAAATAAAGCACAGGAAATTTTAATTGATAATAATATGAAAAAAGTATTGTAAAGAGATTCTGAGGGTGATTCCCAACGAATAGTTGGACGTTAAGGTCTCCTATAATGACAGGAATTACTTTTTCAGTTTGCTTTTAGTAGTTTTGCTCACGGAAAATCTTCAAGACATATATTTCTTTCGTGACGTGACGCAAAGTGTTTTACTTTAAAAAAGTACCAGGTAGCGTTGCTAGTAATTTGTTATGGTCAATACAATTTTTTTTTTAACTTACGAAATTCAGGTGCACGACAGAAATGAAAGAACCGGCTTTTCTGTTTGTGATTTGCTTTCCAAGCGCCAATATAACGATCCATTTCTTAGAAGATTAGTGACGAGGGATGAAAAGCGGATTTTGTATAACAATCCAGTTTGGCGGCGATTATGAGGAAAGCCAAATGAAACTCCATTAACCAATTCTAAGGGTGGACTAAACTTAAGAAACATTGGAAATTATTAAACGTCTGTAATATTTTGTTGTAAAAAGGAACGTCAGTGCGTTTTTTCTTTTTGTGTTAATCAAAAATTTAACACTCAATGCAGTTTCTATTAGACTTCTACTTTCCACAAGAATAATTTTTTCGCCGTTAACATTTTTGTTCGAAACCACAAGATACAAAATGCAACAAGCAAATGTGATGTGCAACAAGGGAAATAAAGTAAACAAATAACATAAAATAGAACAAAATTGGCTCAAAAATGTACAACTCGTAGTCTTTTTGGAAAATGTCGCTATAATTACTGATTTAACAAAATTAGAAATTACGATTCATCTATAAACAAAAATATATTTTGCTAGAGAATACCCTTCCATTCACGCTAATAAATTACATTCACTCTAGCCATTATCCACACTGCCCGAAAGTACTCGACATCGGGATAGAGTAATCTGGCCCATACGTTCTCGCTAATAAATATATTTGTTCCAACAAGCACACAAAATAGATCTTTTATGGCGATTTTCTAATAAGGAAATTTCTGAAGGAAGTTGAAAAATTCGAACGTCTTCTGGTTTTTTGTTGTGGGTAATGGTAAACTTAAAAAATATTAAGTATCGGGTTGTCCGGAAAATAATGCAGGATTTTAAGTTTTCATTAAAAAAAATCTATATAAAATATTCTGTTTACGTTTACAGGATTACTCATTNGGGAAATTATTTTGATTAAAGAACATTGCTTTAAAGTAACTAGTTTCTTTTTTTTTGTTTAATACCAAAATCCTGCATTATTTTCCGGACAACCCAATATTTATATTCAATAATTGGAGAAAACTAAATAAATCAAAGTGGTATATTTTCTGTTTTTTATTTTTAAATGGATATGAAAAAAATTAAATTTGTCCAATTTGACCTGATTTAACTTCGGAGACAACATAAAGGTTAGATCAGCATTAGCAAGTCAAATTAGTGGGCCTCTCATGGTCTGCATTAATCACTAGTTAGTTGTTTATACAACCGGGGCCAAAATTAGTTGCAAATCGTGATTTATAAAAATATACCAGGCGGTATAACATCGTACCAACTAATATTTTGTAGATTTAAAAATGGTTTCGTAACCAAAGAATATAAATTTGACTTATTTAACTAATAAATTGAATGAACAATGGACTAATAAATTATACATACAATAATATACAGGGTGTGAACGTTATTGTATTGGAAAGAATGTATTTATTTATGTGAATGGAGGAGCATACCCCGAGGACTATCGAGTACTCTGGGGTAGGGTGAACTTAGTCTGGTGTGTGAATGTAATATATTAGCGTGAATGGAGGGGTATATCGCCAATTACCCCGAGGAACATCGAGTGACTCTTGGGTAGTGTGATTTGTTGTTGATTATGTTTCGTGTATTTGTTATTTGTGTTATTTTATCCACAATTGATGACGCCTTGGGGTACAGGGAGGCTAGCAGTCGGATAAAGAAAAGAGAGAGAATAAATACCCTTCCACACGAATAGTACTACGTGTGTACTATATCATAATTGTGTATGACGTACCGTTCCATCATAAAACATCATACTTTGCTGGAGAAACAGGTAGGTAGGTTTAAAACCTGAGAAAGACAAGCAGTGACAACTATGAAAGAGAGGGCAGGCAATGCCCAATATAGTTTGCCAGCCCTAAAACTATACAGAATATATTTATATAAAATTAGATCAATTCTACCACCAGTACATTCTGTAAAAGAACAATGGTTTTGTTTATAGAGCAATTGTAATTTTTAATTTTGTTAAATCAATAATTATAGCGTCGTATTTCTTAAAAGCTCGACTAAGGAATGAAAGGTTTCTGTTTTCTTTTCTCTAAATGGCCTGACCCCTTATCGTTCTAAGATATAAGACTATTATTTCTACAGCGAGAGCTGAATGTGGTACGTTTTAAGAAAAAAAATGGTAGATGTAGAAAATAGTCTAGTGTGTTGGGTTAGGGTTGGCGGAGATAAAAGAAGGACTGTATTTGTATTTATTATCATGGCCCATTCATCTGTTTGTCTCAATATGTCGTAAATACCGCAATAAAAGTATAAATTGTATACTGGTGTTTAACAAAAATCTAATAATATAGTACTTTGGCTTAATAACGGGGTAAGTCTATGATTGCTCAAAATGTGATTTTATTTCATTATTTAGCAATATAATAAATTAACATGGCTTTATTTTGCTTTACATTCTGCTATAAAAGTTCACACCCGATCTAAAAACAATTTACAATTTTGCCTAGATGGTTTTTTAAAAAACTGATCTCCTTTATTAATATAAAAAATTCAGTAATGTTGCCCACATGACATAAAATGACTAATAACTACAATGATTACATTTGTATAAATAGTCTGAGGCCGAATAGAAGTTTCTCTAAAAATCACTCGTTATAGGACTTACTTGGACTACATCAATTTCTCGATTATATAATGATCTCTCCATCTCCACCGGCCCAGATAGTTCAGATCACACTGGATTTTGCTTGAGACAATATTTCCCGCAACATCACCAAAATCACATGCAAATAGTCTTCCAACAATCCAACAGAAATAAAAAGGAAAAAAAATTAAGAAGACAAATGGAAAGGTTAAGATGCTATGGCTGGTAAAGTTGGTTGATGCAATATCCAAGATATTTCCTCTTTACTATCTACTACTGGCGCCATTGAAAAAGGTTTAAGAAGATTAATATCAAGTTAAAAAAAAATTTGGATATATGTCGGATTCGAATGCAGGGCAGGTGGATTCGAACCCGGGACCTTTAACTTAGTTATGAGCGCCGTGTCGACGCCTTAACCGTTGCGGCACCGACGTCATCTTAATCATTAAAAAATTAAATAAAGTGTACTATTTAGTGACGGTTAGTTAATGATTAATTAAATTTAGGTTTATTTTAGGTATAATCAAAGTATTTGTACTCACTCAAAGTGTAGGGTGTAGCATTGAGTACAAATACTTTGATTAAACCTAAATTTTCTATATTGCGTACATCACTGTGTAATTCATTTTTACATCTTACACGTATTTGTACCCTGACAGGCAAAAAATTCCACCCAATTGATTTTTTTTTTTCATTTCTCGGTAAAAAAAAATTCTGCTCTTAATTTGCCTCATTGTTTTTATCGATAAATATTTGTGCATGCTAAGTTTGAAATTGGAAATATCTTTTTTTCAATTTTTATTTTTTAATATATAAAATATTTGATATTTTTCAATGTTTTCTTTTTACGGAATTTAAAATGTTTATTCACTCTCATTTGAATTCTGAAGCAATAAACTGTTTAATTTTTATCTTTGGTTTCTTAATTTCAATTTTAAACTTTAAAATGCCACAGTGCTGAAGATGTTGCGCGGACGGACGTTCCATCAGGTATGCGGCTATTGACATCGAAGTTCGTCACTGCGAGACTCCGTTAGACGTTTTCGAGAAATTGGGTTCTACCAAAGAAGCCCGGTTCTGGACGCCCTTAGGTAACATAACCACCGGATGACCCCCCCAATGATTTTTGACTTTGAGAATTTTGCGAAACCGGCAACTTATTGTTGTTCAATCGATTCATCAGCTCCAGCAAGACAGATGAGTGTAGATTTGCTCTACGATCTCCAGATGGGGGTAGCTTAGTGATGGTGTGGGCGGGAATTTCGATGGAGAGTCGCATAGAGTTGGTTGTTGTTCGTGGAGGATCTTTGACGACCACTCGCTATGTGGATGAAATTTTGGAAAATAATGCTTTGCCTATCCTCCATGAAATCAGCGGCAATCCTATTCTAAAGCACAATAATGCCCGTCCACTCGCATAGTACAACTTCAACAGCATACCATCAGGTTCTTATAGCCTGGCCAGCCTGTTCTCCAGACTTGAACCATATCGAATATTTCTGGGATACCCTCAAAAGACGAATAAGAGCACGTCCATCACTTCCTGATATACTCCACGATCTTGAAAGGACTCTTCGTGAAAAATGGACTAACCTCCAGGAAAAAGACATTTACAGATTGGTAGAAAGTATGCCGAGGCGTCTTCGAGATGCAATTAAGGCAAGAAGAGGAAATATGCCATATTGAAATGTTAATTAAAATTCTAAAACAAAATTAAAACGAATTTTATCTGTCGGTCTTTTTTTTTTTCATTTTTCATTTTCCTTAGCAATTTACTTTTTTTTACTTTTTTTAGACAAAGACTCAATTATTAAACGTTAAAAAACGTGAAACTTTGATTAATATATAAAAATAAATACAAATCAAGTTATATTACAAATGGGTGGAATTTTTTGCATATCAGTGTATAATTTACACAATTTTATAAATCCCAGGCCCTGAAGAAGACTAAATAAATAAATTGAGTGGCGTTACAAATGTCCATAAGTGTAAATACATAATTGCTATTAAAATTCGATTTAAACGTTAACAAATCTTATAACTTCATTTATCGATTGTCTTGAATCGATTCTTCGTCAAGCTAACTTTGCTAGTTTATAACCGCAAATGTTGTTTAGATTCCTTTGGCCACAACAGTCACGTGTTTCCGATCAGTCACCTGAAGTTTGAAAGGGTTTGAAGACATTCGCCAAAATGGACAAAATAAAGTGAGTTTCATCGTTTATTTTCATTTAACAAATCGGGCTTCGTTCAATTTTAACGATGTTATTAGTTCATGCGATAAAATCCGAGTTGGTGGAATTGCATGGTCAACATGGCCTGTTTTATTCGGTCTAAGTAAACCTCAGATATTTTAACTTTTTAAATTATAAAATTAACATTAAACAGTAAGACGCTGTCTGCCTCGGCATACTTTCTACCAATCACGAAATTTAGCATATATTTATTTTTTAGAGTGTTAGTATATCTGTATTTACAATTCCCCATAGGCCTTAGTTTTTTTTGCTGCTATTTACAATTCTATCCGGGTATCGCGCGTTTCGACCAAAGAGCCTGATAAAACAATTCGTTTCGACCAAAAAGTTCGATCTGTTTGACACAGGAAGTTTTTGAAAGGAGAAATCGTTTCGACCAAGTAACATTACCCGACCATAGTAAATATGTCAATCTATCGTGAAATAGAGAGATTCACATTACCAAATCATAAGATCATAGTGCACGATTGGAACATTTTTCCACGTAGAGTTGAAGCAAGTTTTTCTCTTTCTATCATGCGGTCAGAGAGGGGTTCGTGATTATGTTCATTGGTAACAGAAAACACTCACTCAACTTTTGTGACTTTTCATAAAATGACACTTTCAATTATTACAACAAAAAGATTTGTCACCTCCCTTCAAAGTTCTATGCTCATTCAATTTGTAGTTATTCAAATAATACAACACTTCCCTCAGGATGCCCAAGCTCAGCAAAAGTGGCTAGTGTTTTATTCAGTTGACTAGCACCTGATCTTCTTTCTACCTAACTATCTTATGGTCGAATCGATACTCAACAACTTCCTCCATTTGATGAAAGTTCAACTAATGATTATGAGATCCATTATCGATCAGAAAGATGCGCGGAGTCCGGACCGGAGCAAGTTGCATTAGAGGAAGTTAATAATGTTACACCATTTGATTTCTTCTTTCAAAAAATCTGCGATAAAAGGGTGAAGCCAATACAATTCAATTCATGAAGACTATCGCATGGAAACTGGTAGTAACAGCTGAAAGCATTGCACCATTGAGATGAAACTAGATCCATGATATTTCATGTGCTCATTTACTTTACTTCTGTTTGACATGTAAAGGTTCGAAATGAGAGTGTGACACTGGTAGTGCATGGGTTGAAAGGAGTTGTAGAATTTTCATTTTAATTCTTCGATATGACCAAGCCGGTCTGGAACCTGGGAGTCACTTCAGACTAAAGCTGCTTCTGCTTTCTCATCACATACTTTTTGAAGGATAGCCATGGGGTCAGCATCAATCCCAAATTTTGATATTCATTTACTATCTCATCACGGTGTGGCCCAAACATCCATTGTTGTGCAGCCGCCCATTGGCACCCGTTATGGAAAATCATTATTTTGAACTTTTCCAAGTTCACACAGTCTCCACTTCTTGCAGTATTGGTCAAGTAGGTCGATATTTATTTGCAAATGCCTCGGATTATTGGACGCAAATACTAGATTAGTGTAGTAATAATATTAGCAATTTAATATTAGTGTGTATTAATGTTAGTATCTTGACTCCACATTGCAACTCTTAATTTAAGTCATTGATGTATAAGTAGAAAGAACAGAAGGGGACTCAGTGGGCAGCCTTGCTTTACTCCGCATCTCACCTCCATCTTTTGAGTCATACCCTTTTCAATCCAGACTGATGCTGTCACCTTGGGAGTTCATTATAATAAGAATGCAATTGCAAGTTTCCATGTGGAACAGTTTGTTGAAGTTTATTCAGCCCTAATTGTGTTATTTACTTGGAGTACTTGGTTGACCTCATTTTCTTATACTCGTTAAAGTTGCAAACCACCTGCCATCTAAACAAGATCCTAAATCTTTCCAGCCATCAGCTTCCTAAAATAACAGACTAGAGATTATTAGACACAAATCTTATGGTTACCTCCTGGAATGCTTCAGCTCATCAATTCTACTTCAATGGCAATTTTTCTGAGGATAATCTTAAACAATAGCTGGTTTTACTTTCTAACTTGATCCAAAATATCCATCCCTCTCACACTGGCAGTTGTATGGCTTATGCCCAAAATTCTCCAGATTCTTACCAGATAAAGATCTCGTTATTAATCAATGTCTCTGCTTTTTTTTTTTTTTTTAAATAATTAGATACAAATTGTTTTCTTTTAGTTCTTTAATTCAACTATGCAAGAAACAACAGCTCCAACCTTATGCTTTTTATGCAACAAACAGGGTAAAGAAGACATTTTTCATTTTCTGGCAGAATGTCCAGTTTTATCTGAATTCAGAGTGAGACATTTAGGCTTAGGATAACGAGAGAATACCCAATCTCCACTTTATATTATCCTTATTGTAAATTTTGCTGCAGAAGCTGGAGCTGTAGGAAAAATCTGTTTGGCTTATAAGTTTGTACATTCATTTCAATTCATTTTCTTAATATTTGAACCTTTTTTTCAGTTTTTTAAATTAAACTTTAGTAAAAATTTAAAAAAAAAGCAAAAATTGCATACCTCGTTTAGCACTATGGACTTACTTTTACAATCTTTGCCTTCTTTTATTTACTGTTGCAATTATATTCCTGAACCTGAAATGTGTTTCTACTGTGCTCTTTCCTAGCAACCGCTCCATAATGCTACCTGAAATTTCAGTACTGTTTTTTCAGTCCATTATCCATGTCATGCCGTCATTAGTACTATGTATCCCATGTTTGTCTTAAGCTGATCACCAGCTTGTGATCTAAAGAAGTTTTTGTTAGCAAGCAATTTTGTTATTATATAAAAATAACATTAAAGCAACTAATTGTATTCTTATTTTAAGGGAACAAAACCTCATGACCATTCAAATCTGATCACTGGCAAATTAACAAAATGATTTTGATACTAATAATCTAATTATTCAATATTTTATTTTTTACTTACTTACTTAAATACAGCTGTAATTATATTTGGGTAGGCCAGAAAAACCAAAAAAGATCAAAAATGAAGCCAAAACGATAGCAAAACGGGAGAGTAAAAAGAAAAGGTTGAGGAAAGCAGCCCGTCTTATTCTAAGGAACTTGCCATTTAAGGTATACTGACAAACCTTTAACATTTCAACACACATATTGAAATTTATGTTACTTTCAGTGCACTGAAGACGATATCAAAAACCACTTTTCCAAATTTGGAAATATACTAGAAGTAAAGTTGTTGAAAAAAGATAATATGAACATTGGCTGTGGTTTTGTTCAGTTTGACAGAAAAAATAATGCGGCCAAAGCTCTCTTCAGAACTAGTGGGACTGATTTTATGGGTAAGTACGAGGATTATGTGCAATGTCCTATCTAGTTAGAGTCATTTTACCTTGTTTTTTTGTTTTTTTTAATTTTTTTAATTTTAGGTAGACCCGTCATCGTTGACTGGGCGTTATCCAAAGATAAATTTGAAAATGTAACTGTTAAAGAAGAGCCACAAGATGATGTGGAAACGAATGAAAATGATGTTGCAAGGGAAGGAAATTATGAAGTTGATGAACGTATTGTAAAATCAGAAGATGAAACAGACCCTGATGAAAGTCACGATTCTGGATTGGATAGAAGTGATGGGGAGGAATCAGATGATGAGGATGATGATGATGATGATGATGATGATGATGATGATGATGATGATGAAGATGAAGAAGAAGAAGAAGAAAATGAAGATGACCAACCATCGCCATTGCTTGGTAGTATGAAGTATGTACATATTCATTAACAATATATCATCTAACGTAGGACTATTCTAGGTTATAAGCTTTTATTTACATCAACTCATTTTTAAATAAAAATTTTATAATTCAATTATTGCAGTAAGCCAATAAATTGAATAGAATTAACTCCAGTCTTATAAAAATAGTAGAGACATTAATAATTCTTGCTCTTAAATAGTTTTCCGATTTATTATAATAAATACTAAAGTAATAGCTCCAAGATGTTTGGTTTTATTTGTATAAAACTTGTGTATTACATTGGTCCTTTAAAATATTTATCAATGGAGTAAAATCTGTTTCCAGGACAGAATTTAAAAGCGAGTCAAAAAAGCCTCGAGTGACTGTCGCTGACGAGAGTCATACAGTATTTGTCAAAAATCTACCATTTTCCGCTACTAACGAAGATTTGACAAAGTGTGCAGAAGAACACGGAGCCGTCAATTATGCACTGGTCTGCATGGATCGTATGACGGAACACTCTAAAGGAACAGGTTTTATACAGTTTCAGGTAAGGCACTACAAATAGATTCATTTTCAAAAGGGAAAAAATACAAATTCATTTGTCCATGAGGCAACAATATTATTTTTAAGTTCATAATTAAAGACATCAGCAAAGATCATATATGTACTACCCTGATCATATGATATAATACCCTGAGGTTGTGTTGTCTTGAAAGAGCCTATTTAAAGTTCGCATTAACTAATATGCAGGGGACTGAGATAGCCAAGTAGTCAGCGTATTAGGCTCTCAGCTCTTAGACCCTGCATTTCCCAATGGTGCCCCTCCCCTTTTTTCATGTTACCCTTCCCCCCAAAGATTACCTTTATTTTCTAGGTGAATGACATGCTATATCTATTTGTATTGACAGGAAAAATAAAGTTTGTGTATTACTTACATTCTAAAATCTTGTTTCCTTCGCTTATAAGGTTCATCGGCTTATAAGACTCACTTTTTGCTGGTCCCAAAGTGAGTTACAAGCAGTGTCCACTGTATTTGATATCAAGTTAGGACCATCTTTCCTAGGTACGATAGTTTTTTCTTGCTGTTGCTGGGCATTTGCACAGGTCATTTGGTAATTGTCACATGTTTTAAGTGGTACAGTGAAACTTCCCTTGAACAGCAAATTCTTATTCCCCGGCGGGGGGTCCTATTATTTTCTTCACATTAAAATCTTTTATAAAGTGGATACTCCCAATATCAGATGCAGACAGTGTTTTCACTATACTCAGACTCCAAAACTCCCAAAGCCGCTGTTTCCCCATATGTGTTTAGTCGTCTTTCAATATCATCCTTCGACACGAATTCCTTGAATTTGATTATGTCACTGTGCAAACATTTTCATGTACTTCTTGTCTTCTTCAGTTTGACTTTGAATTTTGACACAAAAATATCAAATACACATTTGGCACTTGAAGACAAAATTAATATAATTAAAGTGAGTAAAAGTGAAAAACTAAGTGTGCAAGACTTGGCTGTGAAGTTTATTATCACAAAGACCCAGGCCAGTCAAATTCTAAAGAGATTTTTTTTNTCTGTCAAATTGTTTTATATATATATTATCAATAAATATTATTATTATTGTTGTTGTTGGTTTAGAATGTAGAGGTTGCCAATCAAGTACTGGATGGAAAAATTCAGTTAAAGCTTAATGGTACGAGTCTAATAGCACTGAAGCCTATGACCAAAGAAGCAGTACAGAATATAAATTCAAAAAATAAAGGCCCTAAGGATAACAGAAATCTTTATTTAGTTAAAGAAGGAGGTAATTGATATAGTTATTTTGGAATTTAACCAAATATACAATACACAAAATTATTTTTAGTTATTTTGGCTGGGTCTCCTGCTGCGCATGGAGTATCAAACAGTGATATGATGAAAAGGCTTCAACTTGATAATTGGAAAAACCACAAATTGAAAAATCTCCACATGTTCGTGTCTCCCACACGCCTAGTCATTCATAATCTTCCCGGTTCGTATGATGATGCCCAACTAAAGGAACTATTTAAAAATAATTCTCCCAAGGGTTCTGTCATTACAGAAGTAAGTATTTTAAATCTTACCATCAATAAATAACATGAATATTTATATAAGAATCTAATGTCAATTGTTTTTATTTTCAGTCAAGGGTCATGAAAAATTTAAAAAACATTCAGCCTTCAGGAAAACCAAAATCAATGGGATATGGCTTTGTAACGTTTACCAAACACGAAGATGCATTATTTGCATTACGGAAAGTTAACAATAACCCTGACATATTTTTACCAGTTAAGGTAATTACTTTTTATTATTCATTTAAAAGCTTTAAAAGTGTATAACCACCATGTTCATCATCTTTACAAAATAATGTTAATCAACTCTTTCTACCATTGCCTTGTATACACTTATCAAAAAGAGTGACTTAGCCGAGGACTCAGTAGCTGTAAATGTGCATTAAGGTCTTTGCCCACTATAACGAATCATACTATGACCATAACTGTACCAATATATGCAAAGAAATATTCTTTGTACCAATATCCAAAATCGCCCATTAGACTGTTCCGTCACTGGCCAACACCGAAGCGTGCCGTGCCAACAAGTCAGTCAACAATTTGCTGGCCAAAATATGTTTTAGGTGATGGCACACTGTGTATAATATGCAACAGTGTACTACTGCAGAGCTAGCTTTTCTTTAGGTGGGATATTTTCTCTAAAGATGGTGTTTTGTTTTGGTAATATAATTTTCAGTTTTTCCCAGCAGTTCATTAAAGTCAAATGACATCATATTAAAATATTGGAGAAATTTTTCTTCATCGTCAACTAGGTGCTTATATAATATCCAATGGCAAAAAGGAGGGAAAATTTAAAAGGTGCGGTTGAGATGGGAAGTTGGTGTCCGAGTGGATCGAGGTCACGATAGCTCAGGTGGTAGAGCAGCGGCGTATCAAGCCGAAGATCGTGGGTTCGAATCCCGCTCGTGCCATTGACTTTTTTATCTCAACTAAAAACCTTAATTAATTGTAATATATTAATTGGTCAAGCAGACCACGAAATTAGTGAATATAATATCCAATATTCAACTTCAGTTTTTTGTTTTCTCAGAGATTCGTGGATGCAGTAGCGTCTCACAGTTGTTTTTCATTTTTCTTCCTCGTGCAAAATAGTGGTAATCATATCTTAGAAATTATTTCCTAACAGCCATATTTTATTTTTAAGAAAATGTGCAATACCAATAAGTTCATAATTCACAACAGTTTGTCACAGTCACAAGTTGTAGTGTTGTCTCAGTGAAGCATTTGCAAAAATGTACATGTGTGACCAGAGTAGGACTGTATAGAGACCAAACTTTTTTTTTTTTTTTTTTTTAACTCCTGTCACAGTCATGATATGATAAGTTCTAGCAGGCGCAAAGACCTTTAGACTAAATAAGACACTTATTTTTTAAATAAATGCACGCACTCCTTATTACCTTATCTTGAAATCCTATCTAACCGACTGCTGCTTCAGAGTAGGGTGCAGCAACGAGTTTCGGAACAGATAGTTACCAGGTACAAGCCAGCATACCACAAAGGAACATTCTTGGTCCCATCCTTTATACTCCTGACCTACATAATATCATCATCATCTTTGTAGACAATACCGCAATTTTGTCCTCTAACTTGAATCTTACCCAAGCTACCTCCAACATCCAAAAACACTTAGAGCTTATCAAAGACTGGTGTAAAAATTAGAGGACAACACTGAATGAGGTGAAATGTATTGATTCACATTTTTAAAAAAATCTTGCCTTCCATTGTACATCAACAACCAAGAAATTCCATTCATTTCAAATACTTAGGACCTACACCTAGACAACAGACTGACATGAATCCCCACACAAGGCTTCTAAGACATAAATCCATCTTGACCTAACTTGAACTTGAATCTAACCTTATACAAAACTTTACTGCAACCACTTTGGACATACAAATTGGAACTATGTGATTCTCCCAAGCCATCTAACATCTAGCACATCCAATCCTTCTAACCAAAAGGTCACCTTAATCAACGGCCTTGAGCTAGCACATCCAATCCTTCTAACCAAAAGGTCACCTTAATCAACGGCCTTGAGACATCTTTGCCCCTTAATCCCTCACATTGAGTGCCAGCGCTGCCATTAGTGTTAGTGCTGTGACCTCATAGAAAAAAGTTGTGTGATAACATTTATATGCTATATATATAGCTTATATGCATAGGGTACAAACAAAATACAAAGCTTAATAATAACTTAAAGATTGATGCCAATTTGTTACAATCAACTTTCTTTTCTTTTTTTTAACAGAGGCCAATTGTTGCGTTTTCAATTGAAAATAGGAAAGCATTACATGTCAAGGAAAAGCGATTAGTAAACTCCAAGCTTGCTATTTCAAAGGTAAATGAGGCTAAATCAGCAGAAACTTCTAAGGCACAAGGGCCATCGAAACAACACCATCGGAGGAAGCGGAAATCTAAAAACAAGGAAACCACTGGTCAGGCTCAACTGGCTAAAAATCCTCAGACCCAAGAGCCGGCCAAACAACAACCCCAGAAAAAGCGGAAATTGAACAGTAAGAAAACCACTAGTCAGGCTCAACCGACTGAAAATTCTCAGACCCAAGGGCTGGCCAAACAGGTGAAGCAGAAATTCAACAAGAACAAATGCCCCAATGTACAGAATGAACCAACAACTGAATTTGCGCCATTCACCGGTGTTACAGCAAAATATGGAAGTAGAAAGTTGAGATCGAAAAGGGAATTGATTGCCCAGCAGAAACAACATTTTATAAATGCAAAGAAATTTAAAAAACAGAATAAAATTTCAAGAAAGCAAAAAAGAGCTAGGAAACAAATGTCTCAATAGTTGGTATTGTTATAATTTTGTAAATAAAATGTTAAAACATTTTTATCAATGTAAGAACGAAACTGTAAAATAAATTTTATTAACTTCTAGGTTTTTGTTTTAAAAAAATTGACTAAAAATCAATGTTTTATAAATAAAGAAAATATTTTTATATTGTTATAAAATAAATCCTTTAATTAGGCTTTGGGAGCAGCCATCAAACCCAATTTAACAATAAATAATGATAACTCTGCTCAGGGATTCAGTTTTGTAGCTTCTTTAGCCAAGAGACTAGGGAGACCAAAAAAGTCAGGAATGACCAAATTATATTATATAATTTTATGTCTGAATAAAGTTCAATTTTGAAAAACGAAAACTCTTAAGTTGAAAAAACTTATATAAATACTCACTATCAAAAATGTTGAAACCTATAAATTTCAATTATTTATTTTTTGTAGTTTGTGCTACTATGTTTTATTTTATAATATTTGTTATGTGAGTGCATTACCTTTATTAGTCCCTGTTCATCAACAAATCAACATTTTTCTTGGTTCATTTTGGCATACCTTTCAGTTGGTTTTTACCTTTTGTTAACCCTCTTTATTTTCTTTACTCTATTTATATTGTTTCATCATTTTGCTTCATGTAGTGCCTTTGATGCCTTTTTTAGGCTCTAAGTCCAATCCAGTAATCACTGGAGTTCTTCGAGAGTCTCTACTTGGGTCTTTCATGTTTAAACTTTTTATAAATTATATTTCATCGTCATTAATTTTTCACTCTTGCCAGATGATCTGAAAAGGTACAAGTGTATAGAACCAATTAAAGACGAAGTAAATATTTCGGTTAACACCTTTGCAAAACATTCTCTGATGATGTTTTACAAGAAACATAAAAATTCACAGTAAGAACAGCGCAGTTTTAAGAGGCTTTCATGGATTGTGAAAGCTCAATACTGAACATTATAAAATATGACATATCTGAGGTGGTTTCAGTACATATCATTTGGTGTATTTGTGTTTTTTATTGCTTTCATATGGCATATTTGAGGAATTTTTAGTGCATATTTGAGTATATTTTTCTAGTAGTGAACCCTTGGAAATGCTCGTTGCTAGGCCTGACAGGACAGTTCACCACCTGACTGTTGCCGACATGGTCTAGTGTGAGTAGGCTAAAGGGGTGGCCTATATACCTTTAAAGGGAGGTATTCAAACTCCTTAACCATCCCTCACTAAACGACTCCTATCAATAAACACTCCCTCAATCCTATCTCCTTTCAGCATCCACTATCTCACTCCCATACACAATTTTGGGCTAGAAAGAAAACATCTACCCCAATCAAAGGTGTTGACTCAACATGTGCCGAATGACTCATTGCAGCCATGGTTAAAGGCTGTCTTGAATGAGCCTGTAATATTGGGCGACATCAGAGAGACCGTTTGGTTCCCTAACTTCATTAATTCATTCATATAAGGAAGAAACCCCAAGAAAAAAGATAACACCACTTCACAAATAAATAAAAATGGAGACAAACAACCAGACTTATCCATAGAACAAAAAAGGGAGACTATTTTCCCAAGCCCAAGAAATGAAGCAGCTGCTACCTGGGAAATCAACCCCCACACAGATGAAGCACTCTGAACCTTCAAGTAGCAGTACAGAAAAACAAAAAGATTTGAATAACACAACACGTACAGATTTTGCAATGGAGACACCTAAAAACTAGCACTACATTTACCCACAGGAGGAAGTGTTTTAGGTTGTATAATGAAACTGTAGAAGAAAATCAAGCACTGAAACCAGGCGGAATAATCAACTCCCTTGATGAACAATGACACAGGAGTGCTATAAGCACAGAACAGTGGATAATACTCTCAAAGGGCACAATACACAACACACCCCAATTAATAAATCTACATCTACTTGGCATATTTGGGGGGTTTTATAGTGTATACTGTATGGCATTTTATAGGTTTTTTTATCGCATACTATATGGCATTTTTATTTCATATTGTATACTATATATTGTATACATATTATCCGGGCACTGATGATGAGTGGACTAACATTTCAGTGAATCGAACATCAGTGAATCTCAGATTTATTTTGAAACTATATTTTCATTAATATTAAACAAAATTGATTTGAATTTTGAACAATTAAATAGACTTTTGTCATATATTTTTAAGTTTAAACTTTGAAATGAAGGTAAAAGACATGTGCTCCTCCTGATGTTCTTTTCATTCAAATTTTCTTTAATACATAAACTTTTTATTTGATTATTTGAAATGGGGTTTTTATTTTTCAATTAAAGAACTCAGAGTTTGTGAAAACAGAGTTTAGGTTTGTATTTTTTAAAAAAGGGGGGAATTTGTTGTCAAAACGGGGTAAATTTCGTTTTTGAAGAACCTGTTGGCCAAGAACGAAGTTGAGCAACCGATTGGAAGTTGGAACAGCAACTTTCCTCAGGCCTTTTGTTATTGTTTTTGTTTTACGGATGTGACAGTACGTAAAATGATCCAATCCTTTTTCCCGTTCAAACCGTTTGGGTCCTTTTTTAGAAATTGATTCGGCTTTTTAATGGTAATTACGAATAATAATTTGGCAAAGGTCCTAATTGCCTTTTTCTGACAATTAAACCAAATTAATTCATTTCAGGTATTGATATGGTCCATTGTACGAAGAACTCTGTCCTTGTTGCGTTCATTACGATAGCAGGTTTGATTTGTACACTTTATAAGATTACGATTTAAGCTCTTGTTATAATTGATGAAAACATTAAATTCCAGGACTAGTTCAGGTAAATGGGAAACGAACGAACATTTGTGGCGATGACCACATCCTTCACCAGAAAGGATCGATTCACAGCCCGCACTATCCTAGACCGTATCCTCCTCATGTCAACTGTACTTGGACGATACTTTTGCCTCCCAAGTCTCACCTCACCATCATGTAAGATCCGTAATATTTTCTTGATTGTTCGATCATGATTTTCAGCGGTTTTGATTGATATTCTTCAGTCGGTGAAAGCGAGTTGGCCGTCAGTACGTTGAACTGACGGATGCTAATTTAGTCAATTTATTCTCACTAGCTTACATTTCACTCACAGGTCCTCATTGAAGAAGGCTCAAAGCTGAAATTTATTTGAACAAAACATAAACCAACGAGAATTGGCTGATCAAGTAAAGTTCAGTTTTCACTAAATCTGTCAGACATTTTTCAACAACAAATTGTATACATTTCTTGAGCTCTATTCTCGTCTAGTTCGCTTTTTATGTTGGCTCTGGTTGTCAGGTGAAAAGTAGACAGAATTGGGGTGTGACAGACCAAAACAGCGAGACAGGTAGGCCAAAATGATCAGAAATGACCAAACATCATTATGTCACAGAGCCTGGCGAAAATCTCACATGTCGATACACAAGTTATAAGTGATGGAAACAAACGATTGGGTGTAACAATTTATACTCCATGTTGGGACTAAGATAAACCAAGATCGTTGAAGCCTCTGATTGTCCTGGGTTCAATTCCATTGTGGCCATGAGATTTTTTTTAATACATAATTGGAATTGTAAATTAGTACAAACTGTTCTGTGACACCTTTGTTACAAGAATTTTTTTCTTGATCTACAGTTGTGAGATATCTAGTTGAGGTTTGCAAAGTGATGACCCTGTAGTTCGTTTCTGATTATTCAGGGCTGCCTAATCCTCATTCGATTTGTCCGGCTGGATTAGGAACCCCAGTGTCTGATATACTAAAACTAGTATAGGCAGATCAGAATGATTAGAAACGACCAAACCAAATGAAACGTCACAGAGCCTGAGAGTAAATCGATTGAACAGTGGGTCAAATAAGATTCATATACTTGGTTATTTTTAAAAACATGTTATCTCACAGTGTAAAATTTCTACTCGATGTTGTAACTAAAATAAACCAACGTCTTTAGAGCTTCAGATTTTTGTTTTGGTCTTATAGTAGTCCTGGTTTCAATTCCCTTATATGGGACTCATATGTCCTACTTTTCAGCTTGTTGGCAGCAAGTTTCGTTTCATTCTGAGAATGTCTGATAAGTATTTTGCTCTGTTAACTTTTGAAATAAACGCAAACAAAATACTAAAGCATGAGAGACACTTCTATCTACATGTAAAATTCATGCTGTTGCTTATTATTCTATCGCACTGTTTCTCTTTTAGGGATATTTGTTTCTTGAACCCACATATGCACATGCAACCACAGATATATTGTAATTAGATCATTCTTTTATCTTTTAATTCCATTTATGTGCTCAGTTTGTTTATTCACTTGAGTTTATATGGTTATCTGGTTGTTTAGTTATCATTCTTTACTAACATTTTTACAAAATTTTTATTCACAATTGTGTGCCTTTTTTAAAATGACAATTTAAAAATACGAGGGTATATCAAATATAATTTTGAACATTGTAAAAGAGAATGCTTTCTTGAATGCAATTGACATCTGACATAAACTGAAATGGCAGAACGAGTTGTAATAAGTTGTGGGAGCGGTCTAAAAGTGTGTATACCAGGAGCTTTCAGTTGCTTTGCAGAAGAAAGTGGTACTTATTTACCAAGGAGGAGATTATCTTGAAAAATAATGTATGCGAGGTTATTTTATAACACCAAAGACTTTTTTATTTAATACAGCCTATTTTACATTTCATTTACCTTCATTTGCTATAATTGTGTTGTAACGACTGTTTTTCACTATTACAATTTGTTTGGTTACTCGTTCTCTAGTACAGCTGATTGTCTAGTGATAACAACTTAATAATTTATATATATATATATTTTTAGATTTACTGATTTTGACATAGAAGAAGACAAAAATTGTACAGAACTTCCTTGTTGCACATCAAATTATTTATCATTGCCGACAAACGGTTCCAATGCTTATGCAAATTTCTGTGGCAATTATTCTCCCACCAGTCCGTTGAATCTTGTTAAAGATCAGGCCATTATAGAATTTAAATCGTCAGACACAAAATCATTGTCAAGGGGGTTCAACTTGTCTTATGTTATTGGTAAATGTTATAATTTATTATTTTATGCATTTCTATTTAATAATACATTAAAATGTTTGAATTTTTTAGTGAGAACTGTTTGTGAGACAAACGACTTTCATTGTCTCGATGGAACTTGCCTTCCAAAATCTGTGTGTTGCGATGGAATAGCACATTGCCCTGATAAATCTGATGAACTGCAATGTCAAGGTTAATAATGTTCCTTGTAGGCTTTAAAAAAATAAAACATAAATAAATCAAGGAAACTCAAGTTAAACTACTGCATAAAAAATTACAATTAAAATATATATACATTCAAGATTTTAATTAATAATTTTTAATGTTTATTTTTAAAAAATTAGTATTTATCATTGAAAAATACCAATGTCTTTAGTCTTGTTTGTTTAAACGTGTTCAGGCTTGGATTGTGAAAGAACATATTTGGGTATGAAACCATGTAACAATGCAAAATGTTTACATGCCACTCTGTGGTGCGATGGTAATGATGACTGTGGAGATAATTCTGATGAAGAAAACTGCATTAGAGTGAGTTTAAAAAATTTTAACACAATTAAAAACATATTTACACTTTTTTTTTTTTTTTTTTGCAGAATTCTGTTATCAGTGCTACTATTATGGGATGTTTATTCTGTGGTCTTATGCTTGTAATAGCTGTCATGTGTGCCCTTCGACTGTACACTATAAGAAATGAAGCAGCAACATATCGAATTCCACTACCACCCCATGTTTCAGCAAGGCTAAGGTTCTTGTTTAAATTGTAGAGCTCTTGGCAGTAACCTTCAGCAGAAAATTTTTGAAAACTATAAATATTTAATCATGGATATGTCATCTAACCATCTAACTCATCCCAAACCCTAACCTTAACCCTAACCTACTTAACCTAACAATAAGCCTTACCCAACTAACATAATCATTCCTAAATCGACCTAACGTAACTATTCTATACCCTAACCAATCCAACCTGTTCTTAACCTAACCCTGAACCTAATGCTAGCCCATCTCTATCCTTAAACTGCTTATAACCTGAACCCTAATTAACTTGATCTATCCCTAACCTAACCTTAACCCGTCCCTAGTCTTACCTCACCCTAATCCTAACCCTACTGAACCTAACCTCACCCTGATTCTAACATGTTGACTTTGGGCCTGTGCTGAACCGATTTAAGATTAAAAATTACAAGTGCCAAATCAACACATTTGATACCTGCTCTTGGAAAGAAGGGAGGAGAGTTGACACATAATCAACAGCCACAGTCAATGTTCCTAGCTAACTCTAACCCTACCACATGTCCATAACCCTTACCTGCTCTAACTGAACCATACCTAACCTAACTATTATCCTAACCTAATCTAAATAGCCCATCTCATGTTCTCACCCAGGTAATGCAAAAATAGTCGTACAAAAAAAATATGTATTCAGCCCCAGCCATTTTTTTTTTTTTTTTTTTACAAGTTACAATTTGGCTCTTTAAATTTGTCTTTCATTTTTAAGTTTTTTAATTTGTGTATATTTTCAGCTTTACGAATTCAATTTCACTGCCTGCTTTGATTGATGATGAATTTTTCCATCGTGAGCCACCACCTGCGTATTCAGTTGCTGTTGGACAGACCGACGTTGGGCTGACTGGTATCGAAATAGAGCCCAATATTAGACGATCAAGGTCGCGATGCCATAGGCTTAAACCACCGACACCACCACCTAGTACTGACACTTCGAATCAAAGCTCTCCAAGTCGTGGTAGCATCACCTCATCCTCTTACCTTTCCAATGATGATAGTACAATTCTGGGTACTTAAAATTTAAATATCGATTCCTAAAAGTAATTTTAATGTTATGATGTAATTAGGATAATTTGTGTGTGTATGTGTGCGATTGTGTGTGTGTGTGTGTGTGTGTGTGTGTGTGTGTGTATGTATGTATGTATGTATAAACGTGTTATTTTCAACCAAATTAAGTGATCATGATTTGATTGTGTACGTTCTATTTATTGTAGCAATTGGAGAGTGAAATATATTTAAAAATTATTAACCAAAGAGAAAAGTTAGCCAAACGTTGTTAAATATGTTTTGTTTTAATATGAATATTTTTGTTTTATACAGAATATGTATAAAAGGATATAATATATCCAATATCTTGTGTAAAATAAATGTTATTACATTGTTATTGTTCATCTTCGTTTGTACATAAATGTAAATGAATTATATTGAATATGCATTAATATATTTCTTTTTATTTTGCTCAAATTTTTACTTCAATGTGCTAATTTTTGTAAATTAAGTATTAATTTTGAAATTGTATTATAATAATTTGAGTGTGCACGTGCTCACATGACTATGCATTCACTAGTAAGGCTTTAAAATTTTAAAGTGAGTTCTTAGCTAGTCAGTTTCATTGACAATTATACTGACACATGTTGAGAATTATTTTTTAATACCACTGTTATTCATTGATTTTATTTTAGTTGATACAAAAAATTGCAAGAATAAATGTTTTTCTCAATTGTATTATTATTTAAAAAAGAATCACTGTACATCAGATGGCTGTATACAGATTGGGTGACAGTAATAGGAGTGGACTAAGTAAACATCCTTGTCCTACTCCCTGGTTAACTGTGAGTGATTCTGTTCTATGTTCTACCGATAGATGTCCAAACTGAGCAATTGAACAAGTATAAGGCAAGTCTACTGTATCAAAAGAAGCTTAAAGCTAGTTAATATAGTCATATTTTAATAATAATAAATAAATACAAATATGCAGTCAGTGCGTTCCTTTTTGAAGATGGTTTTACTTAGTAAAAGCAAGTATAAACAAGTTTTGTTTATTTTCACGTTTTTCTCACTTATTTTGAAGTTTATGAGTTTAATTATTGTGCTGATCGACTCAGAAGGCTTGAAATCTATGAGACCCAATATGAGACACAAAATATGATTTTTTTCTCTCTTATTTTGATAATTACAGGTTTAATTCTGGCACTAATCTATTCAGGAGAGTCCAATCTAAAAGAAGCAAATGTAAATGATATTTTCAAAATCTGTTTTTTGTTCTTATTATTTGTTTTGTGTTTTACAATTTTTTCCGCTAAGGAGAAAAAAAAGTGGTTTATAATTTTAATTCTTGTGCTGATCAACTAAGGAGGGTAAAAATATAAGATCCACAAATTATGAATTTTTATGGTTTTTGCTTTTTTTGATATTTATGAGCTTAATTCTGGCACTAAACTACTCAGGAGTCAAATCAAAGGGATGCTAGTATAAATAACATTTTAAAAATAATTTATCATTTATCTTGAGATTTACAAGCTTAATTTTTGTGCTGAACAACTCAGGAAAGAGGAACCTATAAATAAGAATGTATAAGAACAACACAAGGCTTAAGGAAATTTTCAATCATGTCTCATTCCTCGAAGGAATCAGCTCATTGAAATATAAATAGGACTCTAACAGACAAAGAAAACATACTTAATTGGCATTAAAACACATGAAATGAAAATTAAACATAAAAAAATATAACATACATAAATATAACTTAATTCAAATAATTTGCATTCTGTTTCATTGTACTTAGTTCCGAAATATTACTGACATTATAAAAGTTTTAAATATGTGTACATCAATATGTCTTGTAATTGGACCATCACTGATAATCTAGGTCTGTCAGACACATTTTGGCATCTCGTCATCCTCAGTGTTTGGTATACTACTGAACACACAAGATGAAATAAGTTTGAAAATCCAAAACAACACGGGTAGACAGACCAGTAATGATTGGAAACAACAAAATTACATATTCACTGCACCGCAGACTGAGCAATCCCACAAAATAATTTTTTGCTCACTTAAATAACGTCAGATGTTTCAAGTGTATGAAAAAAGCCATAGTTCCCAGTGCAGAAGACATTCTCTGGTAAACCCATTTCATCCATCTTTGCAAAAGAAATCAACATTTCACTCATTCCTATTGGACTTTTTTAGCATCTTCATTAACAGTACTGTGTCTAAAAAAATAATGGTGCATGTAAATAAAAATTTATGACATAAGAAGTGAAATAGAACAAGGTGTATAGTTAAGTAATATAATAAATAAATATTTACTTATAAACATAATTGTAACGACAACAAGTAGTATCCAAGACCAACAGTGCCAGCTACTCCTCGTGTTTTCATGAAGATTGTCTGAATGTACTTTCAAGTCAGTAATGTTCTTATTGGCAAGATTAAGAGATTTTTCAACATTCTGAAAACAATACATTTTTATTATTCTTATTTTTATCATTATATATTAAGAAATTAATTATTTTGGTAAATTAATAAGGAAATAAAAATTGTCACTTGCCTCTGAGTCATTCTTCAATATTTTCCCAGCCATTATTGACTGTTCTTTAATGTTTTTCGCTAGCGACAGCATATTCTCGGCAATTTTCTCCTGCATATTATGATGGTGTTTTAACAGTTCATCAAGTTCATTTGGATCATCCTCTTTGATGATGCTATCCTCCGAATCGCTCAAGAGCAACTTCCTTCTTCGAGGAGTGTTTTCTGGTAAAAAATAATACTATTAACTAAACTATTTTTGTTAGAAAAAATCTCCCAAACAATAAAAGGTTTGATTGGAATTTGAATCAAACCTCTAAACCCTAAATCGTCAATTTTTCAAGCTAAAATCCATGCAATAGAACTTTGTGCACAAAAAGTAATTAAAAGGTACATAGATGTAAATTTTAAGAAGGCCTAGCAGAGCCCACGCTTTAGATTCATCAGCCTTCATGTCTGGTCTGGGAATGCCTAACCCCTAATGGTTGTTCAACTCCTGGGAAAAATGGTGATTTTGATGGGGTGCCAGGACATAAGTAGATTGAAGGGATTGAACAGGCTGACAAACTAACAAAAACGGGAGCAGCCCTTTGAAACAGAAACAAAACAATGGAAGGAGAAAAAATGACCACACACTGGATGAATTCACAACGTGCCAATAAAAGAGTTTCTCAAATTTCAACCAGGAAAACAAAATTCTACTGCTCTTTCAGCAGACAAGAATTAAGAAACTAATAGGCTTTTATATTGATCATAGCCCAGTTAATTACTATCTTAAAAAATAGCAAAAACTGAGACAGAATTCTTCCGAGTCTGCCATAAAACAGAAGAGACATTAGAACATATCCTAACCTAACCAACCCAACCTGTTCCTAACCTAACCCTGAATCTTACACTATCCAATCCCTAAGCCTAAATGGAGCTATACACTGAATAAATTCAGAAAGTGCAAAATAATCAAAGAAGTTCCACTACATCTCAACCAGGAACACAAAATTCTACCTCTCTCATCTTCTCCTAGAGGCAAAATTAACATAATTAATAGGCCTTTATATTGTTCACTGTCCAATTACCACTTTAGAAAAAAAAATTAAAAACTGAGACAGAATCCTGTGGGGTCTGCCATAAAACAGAAGATGTGTTGAACCGGCACACGGGCACTACTAGCCCCGTTTTCACTTGTGGGTTTTTTGTTTGAGTTATTCAAATGTGTTTTGACATTGCGCCATCTTCAGTGAGAAAACCCATCATCTACTATTAGAACATGTACTAACCTAAAGTGTCCATAATCCTAAAGTGGCCTACATACTCAATGAATTCACATAGTGAAAAACAATCAAGTTCCTACATCGCAATCAGGAAAACAAAATTCTACCTCTTTCTCATCTTTCCATAAATTAGAGAGTATTAACTCTATTTTAATAAGAGACATTAGAGCATGTCCTTCACAACAAAACATTAGCAGGGAAATGGTACAGTCACTTGGAAATATAACACCTAGAGACCTAGAGAAATTAGTGAAGAGTAATCTTGTAGTGTTCAACTACCTTAAAAATAATCACTTTTCAGTGGTTCAAAATAAAGAAGAGTCATTTAGGTCGTTAGTAAAAATTAGGGAGACTATAGTTACCAGTGACCCCCGGAGAAAAAATGCAACTATAAATATTCAACTTATAGTAAAATTTTGAAATATTTTGTTTTTAATATACAAATATATATCAAAAAGACAAAATTGTAACACAGTAAAGTACGTACCAAACAGTTCTTCTCTGACTTTTTCACCGACATCCTCATTCAACGCATGATATATTTCGTGGGATTCTTTAAAACTATTTCCTTTAGATGCTACTTGCATTGCCAAGGATTTAGCAAGTGGGGTTTCCTGTTAAAATTTATTACAGTATGAGTTTAAATATATGTTGGAACTTATGATTTTGATTATTAAAAGTTCTTACAGCTCTGTACACATTTAGTAGCCCTTTTAGAAAATCTATTCGCTGTTGATATTGATTTGTTTCGTCGAATAATGATTTTCTGAAAGTAACACAAAAACAAGTGATACATTTAATAGAATAATCCCTATGTAATTACAAATCTAACAGTTTTCATCAAAAGAAAAAATTAACATCACATTTTAAGTTAAGAACATCTTTAATTAAATATAATTCATGAATATAATTATATAATGGAGTCCCGCTAATATTCAGATTAATAGACATTTGGATCAGCTGAAAATCTGCAATGATGTAGAAGGATGTAATAAAGCAGATCTGGTTTATTAAATGAATGTGTAGATAAACGATTATTTGGAGATTGTGCGATGTGGTCATGTGTGATGTAAGTTTAAAAAAACATTTTCTTTATTGTGCCAACGTTTTGATCTTTATTTAGATCATCTTCAGGGCACACATAGTCTAAATCCCTAGCAATTTATACTTCCTTTCCCTAATAATCCCATCTGTAATAATCCTGTAAAGATAACTAAACTAAATGACAAATCATTACCCCCTTTTCCCATTGTTGGCCCCTTCCACCTCAAAGAAGCCGATTCCTCATAGCAAAATGAATTTCCATCCCTACTTCCTCCCCCACTCTTTCAAAATCAAACATATAAACAAAAAAAATTATATCTCACTAACACTCTCAACACGCAACATACACCTGCACTTTGAAAATACACTTTGAGTGAGTAGAAATACTTTGATTAAACCTAAAATTTCCATATTGTGTATATCACTGTACAAACTAATTTTTATATCTTACATGTATTTGTATAATGTAAACAATGTTTGTAAATCCCACGCCCTGAAGATGATTTAAATGAAGATCAAAACATTGGCACAATAAAGAAAATGTTTTTCTAAACCTACATCACACATAACTGCATCTCACGATCTACAAATAAACATTAATTAACGGTCACTAAATACTACACACATACTGAAAAATGAAAATACGCTGGAAGCTTTGAAAAAACCTGGAAAAGGGTGAAAGTGTAGTTTGGTAATTTCTAGTCATTTCGGTCTATCTTTGCTGTTTTGCTCTGTCAGATGCTGTTCGGCTTCTTACCATCTACAATTTTTAACAGGTTATAAACCACCACAGAAGATAGCAAGAAGTTAAAACGCTTCTGTCTAACCAAAGCAGCAAGGATAGGGAACCACCAAACTTAGAATTTGGATTGCACTATGCCAAAATAACTGGTAAATAAATTGTAAAGTATAACTATATCTTACTGGTGAGAAGGTGATTTCGACTTGAGATTTGCTGCCATATCGACAAGAGCTGTAACATACTGTAAAAATACCAATAAATTTTAAGAATCACAAAATTCCTAAATGGTAAAATTATCTGTAATTATCAGTAAAAATATATTATTAATGGTATTATTCTATTGGGACTGGCAAAAGATAGCCTAGGTTCTGCCAAGAAGATGAAACCACAATATATGTTACTGTGAAGGCCTAAGGAAAAAAGGTTTCTAGCAAAAACAAAAAGCTAAGTCAAGCAAACTGAGAACTATCAACACTAAGGAGAGGAACATAAAAAGCCTGAAGCTAGATAACAAGATCTAAACCATTCGATGTAGACTTTGAAAAACTATTCATTATAATAATTAAAAAGATAGCTAATTGGAAAAATAAATAATTTAAAAAAACTTGTTGCCCTACTATGGTGTGCAAATGGCTCAAAGATGGGACATGGTAAAGGCATAAACAGGCCTAACTTTGATCACTACATGGTTTTTGGCCCAACCACAAGCATCTTTCAAGCCAAATTACTACATACATGCGCACATGAAATAAATACCAAACATATCAAGGGTGCAATAATAATACTTTCGAATAGCCAAGCAGCTCTAAAGGCTCTTCAAGACTATGAGATCAACTCAAAACCTTTCTGGAACTGCTTACAAAAAATAAATAAATATAAATGGGATCTACAAAGGCTAAAGTTGGTCCTAGGTCATGTGGGAAAAACCATAGCCACATTAAAAAAGAACTGGAATTTTGGGTAATTAAAGAACACAACAATTAGTGGGAGCATAAACCAGGTGGTTACCTAGGTTAGTGGCTACCTACTTGACTTGGTTTGTTAAGATTGTCAGAGAAAATGGCTATCTTTCTGAATGTTCCTAGCCTTTTTATTTCTCTGATGCAGTATTCAATTGCTATAATTTCAGACTGGAAACCTGTATTATATTCACCTAAGTTTAAAGTCAGTTCGGTCTTCGAATTCATCCCAAGGTCTCCAGTTCCCATGCCTTTATCAGTTTTTGAGCCGTACGCAAGTACGAATTGCCCTTTAGAGGTGTTCTTTTGGCTCACTCTTCCTATTCTGGTATAAATACCTTGTACTTGTTGCTGAAGTTATATTTTGGAGTAGGGACATCAGTTGGCATGCCAAGTATGGCATCTTCCTGTATCTCCCCACTCAGTTTCCATTGTTCATTGACATGACCTATCTTTGCAGATGGTTGTCCATTTATGAGCCTGTGAGCCACTGCTCAGGCTTCTGCTTAGATTAGAGTATCAAGTGTTTGAAGGTTTAACAACACCCCAAAAGCCACAGTCGGCATTGCACTCACGGTTCCAGTGACTTTGAGGCAAATTATGTGTCATTATGCATTTGTGTTGCTAAATTGTGTTCTCATGGATTGAGTTAATGTGAACTTGCAAATCGACTAGATATGAGTTTCAGCTCAGTTAGAAACATCATGTGGAAGAACAATGAGATGGGTTCAGTCCTAAACAAACATCATTCTGGGCAGCCTCAAAAGTTTTCTCAAAGAGAAAATAGAAGAATTCACAAAATAGTGGCAAAAACAAATTCTAGTTCTGGCTCTAGCGTAGCTTGAGAGGTTGCATCAACTTCTAGCATAACTTTCAGCGTGCAGGCAGTAAGGAATTAATTCACAGTTTTAATTATTAGGGCAGAGTTCAAAGAATAGAAGGTTAATTGCAAGAAAATCTCAAGTTTGCAAAAACCATTGCTTTAATGTATGGAAAGACAGATACATCAATTTTTTTTTTTATTTATAAAACCCCACCTTACCTAAGGATATAACGATGTCAAATTTTGTATTTTCTGAACTGCTTTACTTTATAATTTATTTTCTTACCAGGCAATTTTGGGTTGTAAAGTGAACTAAACATTGTATACAGATACTGTTGACTTGGTTTGTAGCATTGGACCACAATTTTTTCTATCATATGTTAATAAAATAAAAGTTCTCTATTAAAAAATAATAATTGTTTAAATACAGACTTTAGTAATTAATGCCCTTGCTGCAGAAAGACAAATCTAAATGTGAAGTATTTTAAAAAATTTTAGAAGAAGAATTTTAAAAATAAATTTTTATGTGATTTTATACAAATTGTTAGCATTGTAGCAATTGTATATCAAAATTACCTTGTAAAATAATGCCCCCTCTGTTTCCAATGTTAGTCGATGGTGCCTTTCTTTGATCAATATAATTAGATTAAGAATAATCGGAAGAGGACCCAAATTTATTATACTATTTATATTTTTGAGATTTAAGAAAAACGTGGAGTGTGCCAATACTTTTTGACCCATTATATATATATCTTCATTCACAGTGTCCCTTTGTCTCTTGAGGTGTTGTGAAAGTTTACATACACCTCAGCAGCAAACCTTCAAAGTTTTTAAAAAAGATAATATTTTCAGATTAAAGCAAGTACAATATTTTCAGCTCTGACAATTACAAATATGTATGGAGAAAACCAGTATTGAGTGTGAAATTATTCATGTAAGGCAAATAGTTAAAAACGGTGGCGGGAGCGTTATAATCTGAGCCTGCATGGAAACCTATGTTTCATCGAAGGTATTACGAACAGTGGTGAAAACAAAGTAACCAGGGACACATTTATCTTATAACAAGATCCGAACAAATCAAAACTCCACCCCAATCACTGTATATAAATCCCACACTTGCTGGACTTAAAAGAACAAAAAAATAAATTTCCTTCACAAACTGTTGTATTAGAAGAATGGGATCTAATTGGATCTGAAATAACCCTCAACCCTGCATCCTTGATGCCCCAAAGACCTCTGGCCATAATTGATGCAAATGGTATGGTAACAAAATATTAAAGTGTAAAGAAAACGTTGTTTAACAAATACTTTTTTGACCACTGAAATTCATACTGTTAATCATTAGTTTTATCTTATTTTAATTTGTTCAATTTATTGCCACCAAAAATTAATAATTGGATGCTAGATTTTGAATAAATTTAATATCAAACAATTAAAATGTATATTTTTGAGATTTAAGAAAAATGTGGAGTGTGCCAATACTTTTTGACCCATTATATATATCTTCATTCACAAGTGTCCCTTTGTCTCTTGAGGTGATGTGAAGTTTACAGACACCTCAGCAACAAACCAGAAATGTTTTACACTAAAAAGTTAGACAATATTATTCTCCGTTCACATGTAGGAGAATTCATTATTTGTCACCCCCCTCTTGGCATTGTCATTCGCCTAATTTTCACTTTCACACTTCACATTGGAATTTTGGCCATTAACCACTGAGAAATGACCAATGCAAGCTCCACAAAGGCAGGACATAGGGTAGTTTTGTTTTATGTGGCTACAGAAACACAGTAAAGTAACTCGTGATATATATATACTTAATGTACAACTACTGGTGGTAAAACCATTTTGCAATACTTCCTTCAAACAATTTTCAATTAAAAAACCATGGGCTGGGATTTGAACCCAGGGAAGCAAGCATGGCAAATACGAGTCAGACGCCCTAACCACTAAGCCACTGCGGTCCCCCACAGTTTAGTACCACTACGTTGCAACAGTGCACAAGGCAGACTAAATTGGTTGCCTGTCTCACTGTCCAATGTAATGATTTTTTTTAATGTTTTTGCTTGCCTCGTGCTGTTTTACGTTCTTGTTATCTATTGTGTTCTTTAATTATATTGTACATTGTAGGATTGAGTACTAAAACTGGTAAACGATGTGAATTGTCTAAAAAAAATTCCCCTTTTCTTTACCATTTTTATCCCTCACTTATCGCCATAATAAATGGAGAAAAAAAAGTTTAAATCTGTTTTCCGACGAACTGAAAACTCATACATACACTTCTGAACCTCCAATCGTCCTCACATTTCACGTTTCTTGCCATTTGCTCGCATTTCTGTAGAAGTCGTTTTAAATTTATTTCGTCTCTAGAACACATTTTCACGCCCAGATCATCGACAAGAAGTGAAAAAGTTTAAAGGAAACTAAAACAAGTGGATAGTCAAGGTAAAGAAATGTCAAGGTGGAAACAGTCTTGTTACCTCCAACGTCAAAACCACGATACACAACCTTACTCGTGAGAAGGGATTAGTGATAACGAAAGAAGAGATTATATCGAACTCACAGATAACAGATACACGATAATTAATTGTAATTTAATAATTATTTATTTAACAATCAAAATTCTAAGTACTAATATATACATTTTACAAGAAATACTATCACATATAAAAAAATCTCTAAAAAAAATTGCATTATATAAATTCATATAAAGCATAAACAATAAATAATAGTCTTATAAAAATAGTATATATAAAGACAGCCATTATAATAATTTAATCACAATAACTAAAGAAAAATATCTATAAATGGAAACATATAATTTTTTAAATTGATTGAAGTGACAAACTGTAAATTAAAAATAACCTTTGGTTAACTATTAACTCCAGACAAAACCCCAAGTAGAGTGAGTGTCGGTACTACTATAAATCTTTATTCTTTAATTTATACAAAGCTTATAATTTGGTGATATGTATAGCAAACTAAAAAGACATTCCTCATGGTCTAACAGTGGATAAACCCTATAGATGCTGGAAGTAAACTAAAACAACCACCCTCACCAAGACTGGCATTACTTCAATTAGAGATGTCTAAATTTAGAGAAGTTATAGGTCATACCGATCACTGCATCGGAGAAAGCATCATGATTCAATAATGACCATAATTGAAGGTTATGCAATGATGAGCAAGAATCAGCCACTCAGCTGAATGCAAAGTAACTGTTGAATGGAAGCATAACCTAGGATGAAAAAAGAAAACCAAGGGAAAAAATGTAGTAACGACATTAAATGACTTAGCATTGCTTTGGAGAAGGATTGATTCAATTGAACTGAACTAAGTGACTAGGAAAAATACAAAAAGCAAGTTACTCTTTAAGAGAGTAGAACTAAGTAGAAAAAGTACTATAAGCAATTAATCCTTTCAGATAAGAATTGAGCCCACTAAATGGAACTAAGGCAATGGGTCATGTAGAAAAAGTCAGAAAATATTTAAGAAAAGGAATGAGTCAATTGAAATGAACTAAGGATCAAGGAAAAACCAATAAACCAGGAACTTTTAAGAAAATTACCTGGTCATGGAAACTGAAGTGAGTAATTGGAAAAGCACAATAACCTATAAACTCATTTAAAGAAGAATTGAGTCAACTGAACAGAACTAAGGGAGTAAAAATAATAATAATAAACTCGAAACTTTTAAGATCATGATCTGGTCAATGAAACTGAACTTAAAGCATTATAACCTATAAACTCCTTTAAACAAGCATGAGTCAACTCAACTGAACTAGATAACTAGGAGAAGTACAAAAAGCCAGAAACCCTTTCAGGGAAGGAATGAGTCTATCCAACTGAACTAAGGAATGAGGAAATGTACAATAAGATAAAAACATTGAGCAAATGATGGGGTCAATGGAGCTGAACTTAGGAAATAGGAAAAGCACTGTAAGGTATAATTAACTAAGGAACTAGGAAAAAATCAATAAACCAGAAACTTTTAAAAGCAGGATCGTGAGAATGGAAGTGAACTAACGAAATAGGGAAAGCACTATAAACTATAAACTAGGAGAATTGAGACAACCATACAGAACTAAGTAACAAGGAGAAGTACAAAAAGCCTGAAACTCTTTACAAGATTCAAAGAGTAAATTGAACTGAACTAAGTAACTGGGAAGAATACAAAAAGCCAGAAACTATTTAATAGGACTGGGTAAATGAAACTGAAAAAAGGAACTAGGAAATGTAGTACATGCTATAAAGTCCTTTAAAAAAGAAATGAGTGAACTGAACTAGGTAACCAGGACAAGTACAAAAAGCCAGAAATCCTTTCAGAGAAGGAATGAGTCAATCCAACTGAACTAAGGAATGAAGAAATGTGCAAGCCAGAAACTTTTGAGAAAATTATGGGGTCAATGGAACTGAACTAAGGAACTAGGAAAAGTAGAATAAGCTATAAACACCTTCAGATAAGAATTGCGTAAGCGGAACTGAACTGAGGAGCTAGGAAAATTACAAAAAACCAGAAACTCTTTGAGAGGACTGAGTCAATCGAATTGAACTACGGTCACTAGGAAAGATTATAACTTTAACAGCTTATCATCTGCCAGTTAGATAAACTGAAACCGTTTCAAGAGCAAGCAGTGAATTCTTAAACATGATAGTTTACCAAGTTTTTTATAATCCTGAAAGTGAGAATTTGGTGGTTGTTAAGCTATTATGTAATTATTAAACTGTTTTAACAAGGGTTGTAATGTATTTAGTATGATAAAGACTAGCTATTGCAGATAGCTCTATAGTTTTGAATAACTGATTTGAAAATCTTATTTTCCCTAATGCCTGAAAACACGTCACTCACTACAAAAAAGTCCAACAACACTTATTTTCACCCTATCTATTACCATTCTTCCTGTAGGTTACAATATTTTAGAAAAATTGTCTATAAGAAAATAGAATTTTTTAAATTTTCACAATTTACTCAGTCCCTTTCAATTGATCTGGTATAGTTGTTCATCAGCATTGTTCAGTGTAACAGAAAACATCTATGCTAATATTGCAAAAAAATTACGTCCACTTTTAGGATAGCTGGATTTTTCAAATTTGGATCAATCAACCAGTCTCTTAACAGCCAAGCTTCACCAGAAATTTAATTTCAGCACTGCCTAGTAGATTTTTTTATTTTATATCTATATATCTTAATCACAAGTTGACAATTTCAACTCCAAAATATCTGACATTGGATTTATCAATTCTGAAGTTCCGCAAGGGTCCATCTTAGGACCTCTAGTATTAATTCCTACCATTGTACTACCTAACAGCCTACTAGACAAATAATTAAAAAACAGCATTATATATATATATTCTCCTTTAAATGATTATAGATGCAACAATTATATATAGATAAATAAATTTAAAAACTGTGCTATGTATACAATATATTGTATTAGTTTTACAATTATAATTATAACAGCTACATTCATTATCATGATTTCAGGACCACCGAAATCTGAATGAATTCAGGTCTTTTTAAATTAAATGTCAATAAATCCAGGTATAATAGGATTCAATAGAATACAAATTTATTACATGACTATATTTACAAAATAATCTGGTACTTTTGTTTTTATAATTAATATTAAAGTAAAGTTTGCTCTCGTACGCTTAAAAATAAATTGGGAAGGATGAATACAATTGATAAATTATATTCTATACAATTTTACACATAAAAATGTTCTCACACTTTTATTATCACATTTTGCAATGAAACTTTACAGAGTATAAAGCTAATTGAAAATATTTTAAGGGCGTCTCACTAAAATGGCCTAAAAATATTTACATAATTCAAGAAATTAAAATTACAATCGGTTTTGGTTTAAACGTTAAAGTAAGATTTATTTAATGTCTATCACACAGAATTGTCGAAAAATATCTTGTGCGTACTCTATTTTTTCATTTCACTCAAGGAAAATGATTCTTTTCGTATTTACATAATAAGGTACATAAGATTTAGAAATTGTATGTATACATATACAAACAAAAATAAAAACAAAAAAAATAAATATTTTGAACTCTTAAACAATTAAGAATCTTCAACTTATAAGAACTTCAAGTCTTTGATATTATATACAGTATACAAATGAGGTTACACTTATAAAACTGAAAAAGTCATCATGTAAAAACATAAATTTTCCCACTTTATGTACATAATTTTTTTGTTTATAATTATTTTATAAATTAACACTACAATATATTATTTATATATTTACAAAGAATAAAAAAAAAGTTACAAGATAACAAAAACTTAAATATATGAAATAAATAATTACAAAACAGAAAATCAAGTTTTAAAAAAGATAATAGGGAGAGCATCAATTATTATAACTACTAGTAGTTACTAATGTTTAAAAAGTAAATATTACTTATACAACGCATAAAGCTTACTTTTTATAAATTAATCATAAGTACATATTTTATAACGAATCTTAAAGAAAGCAGTTTAATTTTACGTTGTTTTTTTTCTTCAGATTTTAAAGATGCTCTAATCAGAATGCAATTAATATTTCTTTAAGGTTCAAATGATTTTCTTTAAGCATACAAATGCAAAATGCGAAAATCAGAGAGACAGTGATACATGCATTTTATAAAAAAAACAAAAACAAAAAAAAAGGACTAAATACAATTTGATCAGGATATAAAAAAATTAATAAAATTGAAATAATTGTTCAATTTTTATCACTTAATACAAATCCATTAATATCAATTAATTGAACTAAACATATATAAACGGATATAATTTATTATAAATAGATAGTTAAAATTGAAATTCTTTTCATAATTATTTATAGAAAATAGCCAATAAAAATGATTCATTGCAATTGAAATCAAGAGTATCGTGTGATTTGTATTAATTAGATATTAAATAAACTTTTTTAAAATTACAAAATAATCTCATTAAATATAAAATATAAAACTCTATTTCTTTATTGTATTAAGAAATTAAAACTGTATGTGAATTTGGCTTCATAAGCAAAATCTGACAATAAATCTTTGTGCAACTCCTTCAATCAGACAATTCAGAATATGAGTTAGGAACAAATTCAATTATTTATTTGTTTATTTTATTTTTTTTGCCTTGATTCATTTAATTAATATACATGTGATTTTTGGATTCTGCAAATATTTTTCAAAATCATTGTTTCCTAAAATAAAGGCGTTGATTTTTTTCTCTACCTTAGAAAAAGGATCTATTTTAAAATGAAAACTTATTTCCATTTGCAAATTAAGTATTAAATTATAAAGTGCAGGTTAAATAAAATCATTTGAACCTACTTCACAAATGATAATTTCATAACACACCAGTAAAAAATCAGATATAGTAACAGGTACTAAAACAAGTTTTATAAAATAAAAAAAATTAAATTAAAAAAAAAAATTATTACAGTTATAAATGCAAACTTCAAATCTCAAAAACTTGTTAAAACCTTATACTTTCTGAAGGATATTATAAGAGTAAGGTATAAACGCATTTACCTCCAATAAAATGTCTCAAAGTACTGTGATATGAGCAAAATGTCTTTCAAATATGATAATTATATTACTCTCACAAGAAGGAAAAGTGGTTAGCAAATTTTGTATTAGAAATAAAACGAAGATCCTAAATGACTAGGAGTTAGTGGGATGAGAATATCTGTCCCTTCTGTAATCTTTGTTATCTCTTCGCCATGTGTCATGAAAGCCAGTTGAATTTGGAGGATATCTGTCACGTTGATAGACATTTTCATAGGGAAAAGGAGAGCAAGGTCCACTTCCATAATTACCTTGCGGTTGTGAACTTCTGTATCTGAAATCATGAAGAAAGTAAGTAAGCAAATGTAAATTAGAATTAGGGGGATTATAACCAATTTTATAGAAAATTTATGGCTTATTGGGGAGGACAAAACCCAGGAGTAAAAGAGGTCTGCAGTGGCCGAGCGGCGTCTGACTAGTATTTGCCACACTAGCAATTTTGTGTTCAAATCCCGAGATTTTTAATGGAGGACAGTATAAAAAAAGGTTTGTAAAGTGATTGTACAGAGACATCCATGCAAACATTAATTTTCTTGTGGGCTTCTATCGACTTCAACCTTTACACTGACAGATATAATCATTTTTTCTGTCTTTAACTCCAAATTAGTTTGTCACAATCATAATCTAAGAATTGACCAGGAAGCACACACATAAAAGTCATCTGTATAACCTGATGTGTTTTTCTTTCTGGTGTCCCTTAAGAGACTTTTTCACTGAAAAATATATGACTAAGTGTCCTTATTCTCAATTAGTCTCTCATTAGTCAATTTATTAAAATGTTTTATTCGAATAACTCTCTTAGCTGGGGAAAATGAAATGGTCTCATCATGAAAAAAAAAAAAAAATCAACTTTTTGTTAGTAACACTTATCTGAGCATTCTTGACAATTCAAACTAGGAGAGGACATTTTATGTTTTTCTATCTTTGTTGTGCATATATTTCAAGGTTATTATATACAGATCGGTTTGTTTTTATATCTAGGATAAAAAAATAATATGGAAGATCATATTACATGAGAATAAACATATAAGAAGTTATAAAAACCAGAAGGTGCTTTCAGTAAAGTAGAAAGAAAAAAATTGTTTTTGAAAAAATCAATTTGGATTCGTTTTAAGTATCCTTTAAAGCCCTTAAATACATATTTTTAAAGTAAACAAAAAAATATACATTTTTGGGGCTGGATCAGCTAAGGGAATGTTTTTCTCAGGTGTTCCAGGTTCCACTTAAAAAATCATAACTCCTCTGGATTTTATGTCATGTCCATAGCATTACAACCATCGGAAGGCTGTTATTCCCTCTTTGACCTTATATCAACCACATTTGGTTTGTATGCTCTAATAAGTGAGAAAAATAAGGATGAGATTGAGAAAAACTCTCCAAATGATTTATATTATATCTCCAGTTCTTATTTATTTATAGAGACCAAGTTTGTGCCATTACGTGTAGTTTATAGGGTTCTAAAACCATGTAAAGTTTCCTGTGGATCAGTAGAATATTTCCCAAGTTATCACTATTGTGATTTTCAAGAAAAATCAGATACAGTATAAATCATTTATAACGAACTTCAGGGGACCATAAGATTTTGAGTTATAATCGATATTCACTATAAGCAATATATTGCTTATAGTGTATAGTTATCTGGACATTTCATCTAATTGATAAGCACGTACGTTTATAGCAGAGCAGTTTTTGTTATAATTAATAATTATATAATTTTTCCAGGTTTATGATGAAGTACAAAATACGTACTAACCTGCTAAAGTAATTTATATGCATAAATGTTTTTAAAACATTAATACATACATGTAAATATGTATGTACAAATGTGAATGGAATTATTTGATTACAGTATCATTGTAGTGTGTAATCCGTTATCTTTTTGGCCTGTACTTTTTTTAAACTTTATAGCATTTATTAAATTGTTTATTTTCTCACAATTCCCAATGTTTTGGAATGAGACGCCCCATTTCACTCGCACCGTCTCCCAATTCGATCCGAGAAATTACTATGAATTTTTCCTCACTCAACAGAAGAGACTAAGGTCGTGGTTTTTTTTATTAATTTCTTTTTTATTTAGAGATTTTTTAAAGATATTTATAGTTTAAAAAAATGGGGAAGAATCTTTCGTAGAAGCAGTACGCAAATGAGGTTACTTTTGCATGCTGTCCCCTATTACTGATAGTTTATTATAAACGGTTCCCAATGTTTTTTCCTTATGACATTTCACAGGACCGGGGATATTGTGCTTTATAACTGGTTGTTCCTTATTACCAGTGTCGATGCAAACAATTTCTACTGTAATTGAAAAATTTGAGAATATTTTTTTTTTATTTTACCAAAGATTTGTGGTCAGTGGTGTATTTTGGGGCACAATAACAACTATCAACTTTCTTTCTCATTACAAAAAAGAAAAAAATACTATTGCTACATTGCTTGGTCACAAAATATTTATTCATTTTTCAATTTTTTCAATAAGATTTTTTTGCCAGCTTCTAAGGGATGCTTGGACATGAGTTTGATATTTTTCAACCTAGTATCACAAAATTCATTTTATTCACTATAACCAATACTCCCACATCTGAAGCCTTCATTGTGAATAGATTGCAAGACCAAAATAACCACAGTGATCACATTGATTAAGAATTCAGATTATATGCTATAGTTTAATTTTACAAATCAACTAAAATTGATCAGTTTTAGTTATGTAGAAAGGTTTAAAATATTTATGGCCTTATGAACTCTCATATTAGCCAGCGTTCAAAATTCAATAGTTTATTGTTTCAATGTAGTTGGGGGGAGAGTATTGTAAAAGAAAGAGCCAAGGGCGATGATGGGAATCGAACCCACGACCGTCAGGTCTACAATCTGAGAGTCTATCACGCTAATCACTCGGCTACTGTGGTCCTTTTACCTTTAATAGCAGATTTTGTACCTTCTGTTATCTGATGTCCTATCTCGGCTATTTCTGTCCCTTTCTCGATCACGATCTCTTTCTCTGTCTCTATCAGAATCCCTTTCCCTCTCTTTGTATGCATTTCGCTGATAATCGTATTTCTCTCTTTCACGCTTGTGATCTGTTGAAGGATACCTGTAAAAAGATCATTATATTAACATTGTAATATTTAAAGTATTTTAAAATATTTTTAAATGTGACAAGTTTTTTAAATTATTGTGTTCTAATGATCATCCAGATTTACATATTTGTTTTTTGCTTATTAGTTTAAATATCAATGACCAAGACAACATGCTGTTGACACCAAGCACCAGGAAAGGGCGGGATGTGTACATGTTAAAATGAAATAAATCAAATGACACATAATAAAATATTGATTTTAACATTTTGTTCAAACAATTGACATCGATGAATAATTTAATTGACTTAAAACGAGTCTAATTTCTGTGGAAAAAATAATTTAACCCTACATTTTATTGAATAAAGTTCGTCTTTGTATTAAAAAAATTGTTCCATTTTTGTATATCATGATTTATTGATAATTTGAATAATTGCAAATAGTGATTAAAATTTTTAGACCTCAGTATAAATTAATTAATAGAATTCTTCTTCACAAAATGTTTACTTCTGAAGGGTTGTTTACTTTTTGACTTAGTAAGGTAACCGACCATTTAAAAAAACAACAATGTTTTTGACTGCTAAGTTATCGATCAAGACTGCCTAGTTTTCTAGAAATTAATGTCAACGTTGTATAAAGTCCAAAAATAAAGTTGCCTATTTTCCCTGATGTAATAAATAAAAAGTATTTTTAAGTTTCCAAATTTACAATCTTAAGTTTTTTATGTATATGTCTGTTTTTATGGGAACTGGCGACTACAAGCATCAACCTCTGCTATTTTTTGAAAATAAAACACTAAAACTTTTAGTTTTTTCTGCTATTTTTTGAAAATAAAAACAGTAAAACTTTTAGTTTTTAAGTCTTTTTTAAAAATACATGTTCTTTAAAAGGGTTAACTAGGCTATGATTTTTTTTATTATTAAGTATTCAGTAGGCTGCAGAGAATTTTTAGAACTACATTATTTTGGAGTTTTGTTCTAAATGACGTAAGACTGCCTAGTGGTCAGCAAGATACACTCAGCTCGTAACCCCGTGGTTGTGGGTTCAATTCCATTGTCACCCCTGGCCTTTTTTTCCCAAGCTAACCTCCCCCAACATTAATATATCATCAAATACCCACAACCTTGTTTCTGGCTAATATTGGAAACAAGGCTTAAGGAAAAAATAACAATCTGGTCTTCAATAAGAATAATATATAGCACAATCCTACAAAGCTTTAAGACATAAAAATGCCTTTTTTATCTAGTAATTTGGTCGTTACCGACCATTTTGGTCTATCCACACAGAATTGGCCTGTCAGGCTCATTTTGGCATTTCACTATCTTCAGGGTGGCTTTAAGTCAAATTTCTTTTATATTTTTTATTGAGAGGTGTGTTTGTGTCCAGTGTCTTTTGTGGGTGTTTGTACAATTGAATATCAAATATATTCCCCTTTATTACGAAAATTTGTTCTACAAAATACTTCCCATTCCCGATATTGAAATAAATTAACATGGAATACTTACATTAAAAAAAAAAATGTGTTTACTATAACAAAAAGAAGGTGAACATCATTGAATTATGTTACCATTTACAAGTCTTGTCAGCTTGCAGTTTTCATTTATTACAAAAAATAAGTATAATTGTATTTAAAGTTTGTATTATAATTGTTTCATTGTTCCTGTAAATATTAATGATGTCATATGTTATAATCAAATATTTAATTTTCTTTTATTTTAACAGGGTTCGCAGCTGCAGACATCAACTCCCCGGTGTATTTCTGCTGAAAAAGCATATTTTGAAGAGAAAATTTTTTTTTAATGAATTAAATTTTGAAATAAAAATTGTAATTGTAAAAATTTTTTTCTCTTATATATGTGAAAATAAAAATAAATTTAGAAATCTATTTTGCTCTAAAAACAAAATGTTCTACATCTATTGATGATATCAAGTATGTAATTTCTTCCAAGCCATGAGGAGCGTTCAAGAATGAGGAAATTTTGAATAAACCTTTTTCATTTTTTTGCCGACGCTTCGACCTTTATTCAGGTCATCTTCAGAATCTGGGTAAATTGCAAAACGTATGTTGATTGGAAAAAATGCAATACTGATGTAAATATAAATTTTGAACCACATATTTCATAATCACATGAAGTGTGATGCCATTCTTGTGGTTTCATATTGGTTTTATGTGAAAGTGTTGTGAAACGTGAATTTGTATTCTGTTGTTTTTATTTGATTTCACAGGTGTTTTTCATATAAAGTGTTTTTCTAAACTACCTCATTCTTGAATGATCCTTAAGACTTCAACAAATTATGAAACAATTGGTCACTAAGAAACACATTTCTAAGTATACAGTCGAACTTCCCATAAGTGAACACCCCCTCAGGAACAACATTTTGTCTACTTTTTGGATGGGAAGCACATTAAAAAAATTATTGTATTCATTAAGCAGGGGGGAGGGGAAGTGGCAATTGAAATCTAACAAATGTACACATACATGGACATTTTCTCTTACAGATTTTTTTTTCTCTGCATCCCTTTTCAGTTTGTCACTCACAACTGAGAACTGACTGGGAAGCAAAAGGGTTCGAGAGGGTTGTGAGAATACTAGAAAGTACATCACTGTAAGTGAAGTAGATCTGTCACTTGTGAATCCTGAACTTATCATTCTACTGTCCTCTTATAAGAGAATTTTCCACTGAAAACTTTTTAAATGTATTGTTTGTGACCATTTATTATAAGTACTTTATTTTAGTAAACTAAATAGAACAATGCCGGGAAAAATGAAAATGTCCAGTTACAAGTGTCCGCTTAGTTAAGTTCAACTGTATATTTACTATTTATATACTATTTCTAGCAATATAATTTTAGTTGATTATATTAAAATTACAAAACAAGTGTATTTTTTAATTGAAAAAGAAAAAAAAAATCAGTAGCTGTGTGTAGTAAACTTTCAACATTGCTATATGAAAGTATTATTTTATGTATGGATGTATTTCATAAATAATATCCTGTACTTTATAACTGAAAATTCTCTTCTTTTTTCATACGACAGGTACCGTTATGCCGATGAGATCCTTAGTGTCAAATCACTCTTCCTATTCTCTTCATGAACTTAAAATAAATATAAATGTACAACGATTTATCAATTAAAATTTATTACTCAATCATAATTATTCAACAAAATATAAATGAAATCCAGCTCAACAGTAAGTTAATACAATATTTTTCTAAAAGAAATTCTTCAAACAAATTTAAAATCTTTATTACAGGGTTTTACATATTGAATGTATATGAAAGTTTTAAATTAAGAAATATTTTAAAATATTTTTCTTCGTCTTCAACTAATGTTAACCAACAGCTGAAACAAATCCAAGGAGTAAAAAAATAAATAAATATTCTTCACGGATATTTCGGATAAGAAATCCTTCCGAATTAACCCAGGAATTCTCTTGCATCAGGTCGCCGTGGATAAACCTCGGCAATGGTTATTGATACTGATATTTGCCATCAGGAAGTACCGCTATATTAAGTGGGTTTGATAAACAAAACCAACCCTCCCACTTCAAATTGTCTTCCTTTTTAAACAAAATTGGTCTATCAACAATGAGATTTCTTCTTGTCTTTTGCAGGGGCTGAAAAACCTGCAGTTTACTCTTTTCAAGAACATTTTAGTCTCATGTTGAACCGGCACACGGGCACTACTGGGTCTGTCTTTACATGCGTTTTTTTTTTTTTTTTTTTTTTAATTTTATTTATTCAAACACGTTTCGGCATTGCCGTGTACCGGTGTTCAACATGAGTTCACCAACTCGCAGACCAAACCCCATCATCTACATTTTTGTCTGCCTAGCCTAGCTGTTGTCTGTCACATTATGGCTTCTTGCCATCTTCAAAGGACGCAGACCTGAACATGAGAAGAAGGCATAACACGAGACTGGCCAAAACAGCAAGGATAGGCAAACCGTAATGAAAACGGCCAAACTACAAATTATTAACTACACAGGAAAACATAAATACTGGAAAATGTTTTGTCAAAAAAAGGTTCTGCAAAACTTGGATGTTTTCATTTTTTTTAAATTGAATTGGGTGTAAGTCCCGGATAAAATTTTTGTGAAAAATCTATTAAGGTAATAAGTAACTACTGATGTATTTTTCAATTCTTTTTATTCATTTATTTTTTAAATCCACTTCTGCTTGATGAATTTTAATTTTGACACAAATTTCTTTTTCAGGAAAGCCTATAAATTCTGTTTAAGCATCAAACTGTAAGATTTTACCGTATTAAGCAAAATTAAAGGTAATTTAGTTGTTCGGGGAGGAAAAAGTTGCTATTTTTTAAGTACCTTTTCTCAAAATCTTTTTAATCTATTACAACCCAATCTTTTTTTAAATTATGTTTTTACACAGTGTTTACATTTAGTTGAGTTTTTGACACTGGATATAAATAAAATCCGAGTCTTTGAAAAGTGTAAGGAATGGCTTGTTGCAAGTTCGTCAAAGGAACGTGTGAATTACGAATTCCAAAAAACAAAAAATAAATAAAAAATTAAAATTCTAAACCTCGAAATCTTATTGGACCAGTTTTTTGTGCATAAAAGGTATAAATTAATTTTTTAAAAAATTACTGCACTTTTTGGTGTGAAAAACTACACCCCTTAACAGAATATGTCAAAACGTTTGGATAACTAAATAAATTTTTATAGTCTGGAAACAGCATCACATATTGTATTGGTGACACTGCGGTAGCTGAACGGTTAGAGCATCCAAATTTGCCAAAGTAGTCGTTTTGGGTGAAATTTTATTCAGCAATAATTTGAAAAAGAGTAATTAAAGAGATTTCCCTTATCCCAACACCCAATGACGAGTTGGATGTTAAGCCGTCTTTTATGATAGGAATGACTTTTTATACTGCATCATTTCAAGTGCTGCAAGTGAATCTCAGATTACAAACTAAAATCAAACATACAGTAGTAACAAAAACTTATGTTATGTTTTCTAAATTTCTTGCTCTCACTAGCACCTAAAACAAGCAGCACACTGCTTCTATGAATTTGAATCTACAGAAGAGCGTAGAGTGGTTATCATGCTTTCAGTACCTCACTTGCGGAATGAAGAGCACAATATCATGCTGACCGTCCTGATCGAGTTAACGACTCAATATCAACTATATCAAGATAATTATCTGTAGTGTTTTAATGTTATGAACTAAAGAGTGCACAAATCACCACTAGCATCCCAACACATACATGCATACATTAACTTTACAAGACAAATGACTCAGATAATTTATTGTTTTATTAGCAGTGAAAAAAGTGAAATAATGATTATGACAGTATTATTCCAAATTTTGCAAATATTTCAAAACCTTGAATTTTATAACAGTTTTACACAAAGTATATTGAAATGGGTTTCATTACACAGATTTTTCAATTACTTATAAGTTAGTACATTTTGTTAATACACCACAAATATATGAATTTAATTTGAATTTAATTTAACTTGAGCTATTATGAACAGTACATTTTTTCCATTTCAAAATCTCAATAATGACGAATTTTAAATTTTACTAAGGAGAAGTTAAATCATTATTTTTAAGTTAACAAGTCATCCTACATCATTTGTAAAAGAATATTGCACTGGAAGATTATTAGTTGTTAGTTACCACAGTACCTTTGTTGACTGCTGGGCCATCGATCTGTATTACCATGAACGATATCAGACCCAGTTCTATGAGAGCCCATATCACTTTTAGTCTTATTACTACGGTCTGCTTCTAAATTTTTTTTATCATCCTCATTTACAATGCTTTAAAATAAAAAAATAAATAAAAATAAAACAGAGAAAACAAAAATAAACTGTAAAAAGATAAATATTAAATGTCTAAAAAACTTACCGAGGAGCTTTTTTAATAGAATCATTTGTTTCATCTTCACTTTTTCGTTTTTTCTGTGTCCCATTTCCCTCGTGTTTGACAGGCTATAAAAAATAACAATATTTTAACATTAATTTAAAAATAGACAAATCAATATTGTACATAGCTAATTTTGAATACTGACTTCTTTATCTTCTTTCTCAGGCTTTAATTTTTTTATAGCATGCTTATACAATTTATATAATTTTTTGGGATCATATTCCGTGAATTTGGAAACAAAGTACCATAAATTGCTAAAACAAAAAAATTAAAAGGCTGCAATACATAGAACATTATGTTAAAGCATTAATACAATGATGCTAAAAACATTCCACTGAACCAAATAATAAATTATGTATTGCTACTTCATTATTTTTTGGTTATCACTTTGAAACTTAATATTAATACTCTTTTAAATGATAACATTTTAATTATTTATATACCTTCGCCATTTTTTAATTGTATCTAAATCTTTGTATTCTACGAGACATTTATTAATTTGATCACCAATTTGAACAAGACACTGCCTAGTATGATTCACTTGTTCTTGAGGCCCAAGAGTTTGATCAGGATTGTCTAATGCTTTCAACGCTTTCTTAACGGGTCTCATTTTTTCTTTACACTGAAAATATTGTTTTTTAAAAACCTTTACATCGGTTAATAGAAAAAAACACCTATTACCTCATTAAATATTGATGGTTCTAAGTCACCGATAACATCTAAAGCTCTTGGTTCACTGTTAGCAGTGAAATGCATTGGGCCTACATCGTTCTTTTTCTTTTTCTTAATTTCCTTCTCTTTATCTTTGTCCTTCTCTTTTTTCTTTTGTTTCTTTTTTTCGACATCGTTTTCAACTTCCTCATCTCTTCCTTTGTTACTGTTACTATGAGAGTCTTCAGACTGCATGACCACAGCTCCTTCAGCTCCCGAGCTATCATCTTTGTCTTCAATAATTTCTTTAGATACAGCCTTCAGGTCTTTTTTTCTTGGACGCTTACTTTTAGCCTGATAAAATAAATGAAAAAAAAAATAAGTGTATATATGTCTTTTTTGTCTCAGTCGCAACACTGACACTATGGCCAGAACTGCCAACCTCAGAACCTGGAGGGCAAAGTTCTGAGAAACCAGCCAGCCAACACTGACAATCAATATTTGGGATTACAAGATGAGGTTTTGAGACCATTGTGTTGTTGAAGGTGATGTAGTGGGTTTTCAGGTTGAAAAAGTGTAGAGCTTGGGCAGTAGAGTTAAAACTGATCAAAAATCTTAAGAGTGGAACTTCGCCAAATAGGATTGGATCAGTTTGTTGACAAAGGAATCTTGAGGTCATTGTTAATAGTGAGTAATAATAATAGTACTCTAATAATAATAGTTAGTAAAGTTAGTAATTCCAAGACTTGGATGCACTGGATATTGGGCAGCATGGCAGAACCCTACATTTCCACTCTGTTATATCCAAATAGCTCTAGTAATATCAGTCCTAAAAGTCTTTCAGCTGTCCAAGTCATCTGTTAAGTGTCTTTTAAGTCTTGTGTGAGGATTCCATGTCAATCTGCTAAATATCTGACTTAGGTGGGAAGTGGGTAGCTTCTTGTTGATGTACAGTGTTACACTTTTCCTTAGATAACTATATACATTTTTAAAAATTTTGTGATCACAGTTTGCAAAAATAAATTCTACTCACATAAACCGGTAAATAAATAATAATAAATAACATTCTGACGAACTATTTAATGAGGGGATAAAAAAAAAAATTGAAAAACCCCCAAACTGGGAAAGAAGTCCAGTATACACTGAACCATCAGTTTTCAGTTCAATTGATTGGTCAGACAAGGTCTTGACAGGAAAGACAACCAATTACATCTTCCATAGAAATTGCCTTTTTGTTTTAGGAGCAAGGGTTCCAATACCAGCAAACTACAAGAGCTATCGGCCTTCTTAAAGTTTATGATGCATTTTTCAATAAAACTTTTGATTGTAAACCTGGACATCTCATTCAAAAGCCCAATCCTTGTGGATCGAGGAGACTTAGTGCACAGCCTAAGTAATTTATTCTGAGCACTTGTAGTTTCCTATAGATACTTTTGTACATTGGCTGCCAGATAACAGGAATAAATAAGAGCTGGTCTTACCACCATGTATATAAGCAACTTATTATTCAGATTCAAACCAGACTCCCTACTGATTAGTAGAAACATTTGTTTAAAAGGTTTTTTTACTAAGAATCATTCAGTCTCTTAGTAATAGTGCAGGTATACCTGAGGGTGAAAATGGGGGCAGTGTCATCTGCAAATAGGGCCAATTGGACATGCTGGAACTTTGGCATATCACACAAGTAAACTAGAAATAATGTTGGTCCCAGCACTGAACTTTGAGGAATACCAGCTATTACCTTAATTTCTTCAGTAATGGCTCCCCACAGTGGACACTAAAGCAGCAGTCCATTAGACAGGAGCTGACTATTTTTACTAAATATGTATAAAGTGGTTAAAGATTAATTTGCAAATAAGTCCATTATGCCAAACACCATCTTACCGATGTCCAGTAAAACCATTCTAGTGTGCTTTTTCAAGGTCAAAGTTATGGGTAACATGGAAGTCTACCTAGTTGAGCTTGTGCTGAGCGATAAGGGCAGAATCTAAACAGCTCAGGAGGAAGCATATTCTTTTTGAATCCGTACAGGAGCTAACCTGCAGTTAATTATTTTCTCAAAAATTTTGCTCAGTTAACACAACAAACTAACTGGCCTGTAGCTCAGAGGGTCTTTGGGTTTTTTGCCCAGTTTGTGTAATACAATGATTTTGGAGGTTTTCCACTTTTTTAGGAAATGTCCGAAAATGAGCAAACTATTAAATACTTATGTTCATAATACAAATGCCTCGCCTGGAAAGGTTTTGAGCATCAAGTTACTGTCATTTGGTCTTTCTATTGGGGGGAGGACTTGTTTTTAACTATGGTACATACTTCTGTTAGGGAAACAAGGTTGCAGTCCAATGTAGTTTAATCTATGATCTATCTACCTATCTAATTATTATTTGAAAATAAATTAACTTTGCGATTTACTATTTGGGTGTGGTTGAGTTATGTGCCTAATTCGAAATTAAAAGTATGCACTCTCTCTAATGTTGACAGACACTAATACGTTTGATTTTTGTTAACATTAACGGACCACTTTGTACCAAGTGGTTATTCTGAACTGAACTATTGCTTTTAATATGTTTGTCAATTTTCCAAAGTGATCCATCCTCTGATTCAAAGTATTTAGGCAATCGTTAATGATATACATTACTTTTTTAAAGTTTACTTGTTTGTTACAAGACTGTTTTTGTGATGTAAATATGCACTTGGTATGGTTTTCGTCATTCTGTTTGCCTTCTACTTTTTACACCAGTCTTTGATATACTCAAAAGTTTCTTGTTTGTTGGAGGTTGCTTGAATAGGAAGGTCAGCATAAAGGTCAAGTATAAATGAACATACAAGCTAACAAAGCTATCCACATTTGTATGAAAATTCTTGACATGCAATGAAGCGCAATATTATTTTAGCTTTGCTTACTATAAGTAGCATTATGAATGTAAAATGATTTTGAAATAAAACTAGAGACTTACAGGAGATCCTAGCTTTTGTTCTATTTTCTTCCTCAGAATTTTGAGCAAATATTCAGCTCTCGATGTCAAGTGTTTGACTTGTGGTTTTGAGCCTTCATTTGACAATATTTTATCACTTATACCTAAGGAAGGATCCATTTTAATTGCTTCCCAAGAGCCCATGCCATACTGCATAATTCCTTTTAACAAGGCACTATCATCGTTTATGTCCCAAGGACAATCAAAATTCGCCGGCTTAACTCTGGAAAAAAGTTATTTAAAACTATTATCTACAATAAAAACTAGTTAAAATCATTACCTGGCATCCAAAACCCATTTACTTCGTTCAACAGGATCAGCAGGTAGTTCAATATCTAAAGGTTCTAATTCTTTTTCGCAAGCCAATAAACTCTTGACGTTCACAGCAACACCTCCTAGTTTAAGCGAAGGGCCCCGTCCACGTTTTCGGCCAACCGTTCCAGTTGACGTGTCATCGTTATTTACATCTGTCAGGTTTTCTTTGGTTTGGTCGCCTATACACGCCCGACACCTTTGTTTGAGAGTTTCGCCAAGTTTTCTTAAATCGGCCAATGGTTTTTCTTGCAGCTCGGCGTCACAAGCCACGGCTTCCAATCTCTTCAAAGGGGCAGGAAACTTCTTGAAACTTTTAATAAATTTGCGTACCTGCAAAAATTAAAATCAGAACTAAAACAATGCAGTAAAATAGTGGATTCAAGTTTTCCACTTTTTAATTTTTTTTGGGGAAGGAAAGGAATCAGGATTTTTAAATAATTCAATGCAATGTTTCAAAAAGCTTATTTTTATGCACAGTTTATCACATTAAATATACGAATAAAAAATCCCACAAAAGATCATTTATCAAGCACCTTATTACTTCATGAACATTAAATGTTCAATAGTTTAATAAAATGTTTCCTAAAGTTGCTTATAACAAATAATAACCAGCACTGAATGAAAGGTCTTTTTATATCCTTGGCTGTACTGTAAAAATTACTTAAATTACAGGAAACATTTTATTGTATTATGATTATTTGAATATTTACTACTTGTTACATTGCAATATCAGTATCAATATTTTACATTCGTTCAAAAGTGATAATTGCAAATCATTTAAAGTGTTACTTTTAATTATGAATTGATGTTCTGATCCTATATCTAGATATTATCAGTGACTTCTTGAAATTATAGTTTTTCTGTGTTTAATGCAGTTCATTAAACATATGTATGTTCACATTTACTGAAGGAGTCACTTAACGATCTAGTTAAGTTAATTTATATTGTCTTTATTTGCCTGATTCATACTGAAAAAAACTTCTCCGGATAACTTCGAGCATTTTTCCTAGAGATATTTTGACCAATTTTGTTGTCTATAGTGCTACAAATAATAGACAAATTAGTCATTAAATCGTTTAAAAATACTGATAAATACAACTGATAAAAATAATAAACAAGAACATTTTACCTGTTTTCTTTGCTCCAAACGAACAACAGATTGTGTATTTCAAAAGTGAAAAGGATTAACCTACAAATCTCTAATTGCTACATAAATAACTAATAAATAACAAATAAAAGAAGGCATTCTGTTTCTCAACAAACTACTTACAAGGTCAAAATTTCAAAGTTAATTAAATTTCAAGTGTTCTTGCCAATAAGGAGCAGAGTTTATATAATTTTGGTTAAGGGTTTCTGTTTTTTTTTTGCTCATTTAGTGCATTTATTTCAGTTATTACACATCAGTCGATTTTTTTTAAACCCAGAATAACAAAATAATACATGGGGCAGTATTAAATGCTATTAGATAAAAAATGTAATGAAGCTTTTAATAAAGTAGAGCAAAATAATTATTTTAGAAATAAACAATTTGGATTTGTTTTAAGTACTCTTTACATCTGTTAAATATGAATTTTTATCTCAAACAAAATATAAACGTTTTTGAACTGGATCACTCAGGGGTCCAGTGTTATACGTAACAATTCTGGATTTTATCTAATACCTGTGGTATTACAACCGTTGAAAAGCTGAATCTTTCTACCTTCAGCAATGCCAACAAGGATTAGTTAATGCATTAATTTATCGCATTATAATTGAGAGAAATAACGATGGAACCGACAAAAACTTCTTACTTGTTTGATTTTATATGTTTAGTCCTACTTTATTCACAGGGTTTGTGCGTGTAGATTGGTGTAGTTGTTTCAAAGTTAGAACCATTTTTGTGATTTGAGAAAAAAAAAACCATAGGCATTTACAAAGCAAAAACTTAACATTTTTTTAATTTTACCAAAAATTGTATCCTGTTTTGCTATGTCACTAGGCCACAGATTATTTATTTCAGAATCTATGATCAAAAATAATAACAATAATAAAATACATAAATTAATAAAAATCAACTGGTACATAATAACCTTGAAATACATGTACAACAAAGGCAAAAAAACTGTGCACATTACTTAAAATAATTTTTTTCTCGGCTCCTATGGCCCAGTAGTAAGACCACTCGGACACATGTTTAACATTTTTCGATTTTTTTCATTTTTCATTTTAATCGGTGATCTCATGTCTGTCTATAGCCTCCCCATGGTAAGTTACACGAAACAAAAACATGGAAACATCTTACTTGCTAATATTATTTTTTGAGTCATTATGCAATGAATACATTACATTGTATATACAAAAAAAAAAAAAAAACACTACATACAATTAAAATCGATTTACAATTTTAACTGTATTATCACTTTTTAAAGTTTAATTTATAAAAAATCAAATACTATGGGGTCATTCAAATGAGTAGTTAATGAACTTGATCTACTGTATAAGTAATTTTGATGGTAAAATAAAAAGTAAGAAATATGCCTCTAAATCAACAGATATACCTATGAACCAGATACACAGACACATAAATAAAAAAATGGTATTAAGTAACGTTTGTACATAAACATGAGCACCAGTAAAAATTAATGCTTTTTTTTAATGGTTAACTTCCCTAGGATGCCTAATTCAAAATACATTTTGACATTTAAAAAAATTAAATAACTACAACCATAATAAAAATATTTAGGTCAACAATATTTTTACTGAGCCACATTTCATGTTAACAGAAATTAGTTTTAATGTAATTCTTTTTTAATTTTAAATTTAACCCTCTGGCCTTGATCATCCCATGAAACATATAACATATAGTGTTATTTACATTTACAATACAAATTATTTTCATTCTGTTCCTTACTTTTCTTACCCTACGAGACTTTCTTCGCCTCACTTTTCTTGAAATCGGACTGCTGCTACTACTTCTACTGACGATACTGGTATAGACACTTGACCCCTAATAGACAAAGTGTAAATATAAATTAAACCATCTCACTCAAATTAAAACAATTTTTCAAGCATTCAAAACCTTTAAAAAGCAGAAAGCAGCCCAAAAAAATAAAATAAAAAAATACCCCACCCAAAATATGTTGCAAAGCAAAAAGCAAACAAATTAAAAATAGCAAAAACTGTTAAATAAAAAATGCATTCATTCCTACAAAAACTTTGCATAACTATCATTTCCCTCTCATTCTTTTATATTTTTTTTTCTTTTTCATGATTTATATCCAGTCATCTATCACACGCATGCAAAAATGTATTCCTCCAACATGCAATAATGTAAATATATTTACATTTTATACAAAGTACAATTCCTTGCTTTAATCGAACAGCAATCCAGGCCAGATACAGCTTATTAAACATTTACAGGTTGATTGTATCATTTAGTTATTGATTGTTATGTTACATTTAAGAGTGAACATGAATTGATTAAGTTAAAAGGATTGCATTATTTACCTGTGATACTATTTTTTTATGGGGGTTTGCAACAGCAGAGGTCATTATCAACCCCCTGGGGTGCCGGGGTTTTTGGAAAAACAAAAACAAAAAACATCCAGTGGCCCGATATTTGAACCCAGAACATTACAGCAATGAGCACCATGTCAATACATTAACCGTAGCAGCCACTGGCCTATACCCCCTCCCTATGCTATTCTGTCTAATAAGGGGATGGCTGCGGACATGGAATCATTATTTGTTAGAAAATGTTAGACATGTGTCCCTGTGTTCTTACCATGGGCCTTACAAGCCTAGAATTTTTTAAAAACTAATTTAATTTTCTCATCAATTTAATGTTACTGGGGAGAATGCATGCATGGGCTGGGTTAGGTAAGGTTGGGAATGGTTAGGTTTCAGTTAGGATTAGATTAGGTTTAAGATGATGGACACGTTAGGTTATGGTTAGACCAGATATTTATGATTCAATGTTTTGCTATGCAGCGGAGAAAATATGCCTGAGTTAGGTGAGTTTTCTGCCTTCATTTTGTCTGAATTTCTGGGTTATTATATATCAGTTGTATTTTTTACATACAATAAAGAGTACATACATTATTTTTACATATATATTAGACATAAACAGAATTAGACTAAATTAATTAGACAATTAAAACTTACAAAAACCAAAAGATGCTTCCAGGAAGTAGGCCAAAACAATTTTTTTGTTGAAAATAAACATATTTCCCAATGTTCTTGCAAATGGGCCCTACGAGCTGAGAATTTTTTTACAAAGGTAATTTAAATAATTAGATATGGTTTTTGGGCTGAATAATTTTTTTTTTGCATGACTGTTTGCATCATCGATTTTGCGTTACTGGAGATTGGACTGGAGGATTTCATTTTGTATTAAGCACCTTTTAACACAACACATCCCAAGTGGCAATTAAAACAAAATAAAAAACTTCCACATGATGACACACCTGCAAGTCAACTGTCTCGCTGGTTGAAGAAATCTTTGGCTACCTTTAAGGTCAGCCACAATTAAAATGTTGACTACTAAATTTGATCTAATTTTTTACGTTATTACAACTGAAAAGCTGATTATTTCTTACTTAATTATGTGTCAACTGCATCTAGATTTTATGTCAATATAAGTAAGAAAAAAGGTGAAATAAACACTCGTCAAAGGTTTTATTTTATNAATGATTTGAGTCATTATAAGTGAGAAAAATTATCATGAAATTAACAAAAACTCCTAAAACTTTTATTTTATATCTCCATTTCTAATTTATTTACTGAGGCCAAGTTTATGCCATTAAGTGTAGCTTACAAAGTTCTAAATTCCTGTCAAATTCCTCTAGATATCAATGGATTCATTTAAAGTTAACACCATTTTTTGTTATTAGTGAAAGCAATACAATTGTAAGGGGAAAAAGTTTGAGAGAAAAAAATTAACTTTTGATTTTCTCAAAAATCTGTATTCGGTGTTTTTTTTTTTTTTTTTTTTTTGAGCAAAAAACAAATATGAACATTGTTTCTTGCTAAAAAATAATGTATGGTGTGTAGTGACTATTAATTAATTATTATTTAGAGATTGTGAGACCAGACTGCATCTCACAATCTCTAAATAACTGAAAATAGTATTTTTTTAAGTTTTTTTTTAATTTTCTCCAAAATTTGTATACAGGGGGTGCAGTAAAAGAATAAAACTTTGCTTCTTGCTAATTTTTTTTAACCTACTTTGCTACATCACTCAGTCACAAATTATGTATTTCAATATCTGCCTGTATAATCCTACATATTATTTGTATATACTACATTTTAAAAAAATCTATCCTTCTGATATGTAATAACCTTTGAAATATATGCACAACTAAGGCAGAAATACATAATAAAAAATTAAACGAATTACATAAATTTCATTTAAATCGCTGATCCCATGTCCATAACCTGGTAAGTAAAATAACAATATTTAAACCGTACTACCTTTATGTGAACCATTTAGTTTCCCAAAAATGAAGAATGTTTTATGTTACCATTCAACGATCTTTTCAAATATATTCTTCATTTTTGTCTCCCTGGAGTTTCATTAAACAAAAAACTTTTTTTATATTTTTGTGGGAGATTTCAAAGTATGGTGGAGGTAATTAGATCATGCCCAGGTGATTTTTCTATTATCACTGTTATTATCAAATATAAATAATAAACTAGAATTGATGCCTTAATTTTCCAATTTAATTTTTAATAAAAATAATGACCTGCATAAAAGAACTAGAAAATTGGTGTTACTATTCATTCATTCTTGTGCTTCTTTGAACAAAGGCCTTTTTGTGCATTCATGACAATGGTCATTTCTGGGTAGAAGGACAAGAGTAAAAAGCCAATTAAAATAGCAGTTAATATATTGTCTTTCAATGTAAAGACAAAAAGTAAATAGTAGTAAAGGAAGGGAATAGTAGTTTAATATTAGGGGGGTTGTAATTTGCATACAGTTTATAAATAAATCTGCATACACAAGAAAGGTTTTCTTTTAAGAATTTTTTCTGAATATTTTTCATCAATTCGAACGCATAATATTACTGTTATTCTATTTGCAGGGAGAAAAGAGAGAATCATGCAGCCAAATTACATGCATAAAGCAGCCAAAACCCCCACAAATAATAATAAATACTAACTTTGTGAATATCCTGTCCGTTTTATATTTTTTGTTGATCGATACCTAAATAAGAATATTTAACCAGCACAATGAACAATTGCATACTACAACTATACAATAAGAATATTGGAAACTTACCACCGATTCATTGTGGATTTTTTATGTTGAATAAAAACTAAGCACAAACTGTATTCCAAGACTTTAGATTTATAGTCACATATCACAGACCCACACATACACGCGCGCACAGAATTCTTTAAAATTGACAAAATGAACCGAAATCACAGGAAAAGGAACACTTTTTCTCTGCAATATGAGAATTTCTTCTGCTGGTTGTAAATGATACAAAAACAAATATTCTAACAAGGAAAAATAGTTTTAATACTATACATATTCCCTGTGAGGAAATCTTATATATAGAAAGAAAACATAACAAAACTAAATATACTGCCATATTGTATAAACAGTCTATAAATTATGAAAAATAAAACACATACTTACTTGCAGTAAAATTAAATTTTACCTTGTGAGGAAGATAACTTAATTATATGTTTATTATAAAAAGAATTGTCACTTTCAGTTGATCAACCGTGATACAACTTTTCAGTATGCTAATCGGTTTAATACCAAGTTGTTTTTTTTAAATATTTCATAAATTTGAAAAACTGATTTTATGTTTTTAAGATGTAAACAAAACAAATCTACAGCCAAAAATTCTTACCTCTGAATCTGTAAATCCTTTGATATCTTTGTTGGTTGCTCTAGGCCTTCCTCTTTTTCGAGGTCTTTCTTCGTCGGACTGCTCATCAGTTGATTCATTGTCCTCGCCTTTTTTCCTTTTTGATCTTTTACCAACACCATCAGCTGCAATAAAGAAAAAAATGGTTTTACTCGGCCTATCATCAGTAGATAAAATATCAATAATAGTTTATAATGTTTAAATACTGAACTGAAATTGTAAAAATCTCCTCAATCTTTATTATGGTAGGTTTAATAGCATAAAAATTATATACATACCATCACTTTCAGAATGATTGAGTTGCTGCAGAGTTTTACGACTCCTTGGGGGTAAATACAGATCTTCCATTTCTTTAGCTCGTTCTTCTTCTTCAATTTTTTGCCTATATGTTTCTGGAATTATTTCATCCTTAAAAAGACACGCACAGATTATTTAGACATAAAAGCTTTAAACTTATATTCAATGTATCATTTTTGTCAAGGAAATTGTGGAAATTCCTTTTTTTTAAGTTCTCTCATTAACAAATAAGCTGTAAATATTTACCCAATCTCTTGTATCGTCATCTGCTTGATCAATTTCACTTTTAGAATCTTTGTCCTCTTCAAAGGCAAAACTGGCTACTTTGAAAGCAGATAGCAATTCATCACCAACAGTAGGAGGGCATTCATCTCTTGTTTCTGCTCTCCTCAAGATTTCATCAATATCACACTGAAATATAACCAATATTAATATAAAGCATAGAAAAGTACAGGGTGAGTTGTCTTTTGTTCCCCAACTTTTTCTTTTTATTTATTTTTAACAGGGCTTTTGGGGGAAAAAATCCCGAGTCACAAAGTTTTATACAAAGGTGTTTTATTTAACACATGGAACTTTTAAGACTAATTTGTAAAAAAACTACATGTAAATGTTTTCTAACATCAACAAAAATTTTAAAGAAAGTTTAATTTTTTGTATGGTTTCTCATGAATCAAAAAGTTTTGATCTAACTATCCAGGAAAACAGGGTACCAATAGGAACTTGATTATTTCAAATAGTAAGGTACTCATCAATTTTTTTTTCTTCACAAAAATGCTCAAATAAAAAAAATAAAAAAAAAGGAACAGAAGTTTCAACTCACTGTATATTTTACATATTGTATAGAAAAACATACCATCGGCTCTTCATCACCATCCTCTTCGTCTTTAAAAAGTTCTTCAGTGCCGAATTTAAGAATAGCTGATAGCTCTTCTTTATTGAAAGGAGTAGTGTTTGAGCCAGATTTTTTGTCAAGCACAGTTCTACCAGTAGTGTCCATTCTTTGAATGACCAAGTGGTCAAGGACCATTTTTTGTTTTGCTCTTTCGACAATATTTTCTTCTACAGAACTTTTTGTTACTAACCGATAAATATTTACCTGATATAAAAAAAAATTTGTTGATTATCTATTCTTGATTCTGTATAAAACAAATTAATTACTTGATTTTTTTGTCCTATTCTATGTGCTCTGGCCTGAGCTTGAAGGTCATTTTGAGGGTTCCAATCTGAGTCGAATATTATCACAGTATCTGCTGTCGCTAAATTTATTCCCAATCCGCCTGCTCTTGTTGACAAAAGGAAGCAAAAATCTGGCGAGTTTTCAGCATTGAAATGGTCGAGTGCTTGTTTACGAAGCTCTCCTTTAATTCCTCCATCAAGTCTTTGAAATGGAAAATGTCTCAGTTGTAGATATTCAGCAATAATATCTAACATTCTGACCATCTGGGAAAAAATCAGCACTCTATGCCCTGTTTCTTTTAGCCGAACTAACAATTTGTCCAAAAGCAAAAGCTTGCCGGAACCGCGTAAAAGTTGCTGGAAGAAATATACCATTAATATTTCAAACGGCAAAACAAAGCAAAAACTATTCTTAGATACCTGTAAAGATTCTTCATTTTTAGCTTCATTTTCCGAAGGTTTTATAAGGAAAGCATGATTGCAACACTTCTTCAGTTCTATTACGATATTTAAAAATGTGCTTGGAGATCCTTTGATACCTTTACGCAAGGCAGAATAATTTTTTGATAAAATCCATCTATAATATTGCTTTTGAACTGAAGTCATTTCTACTCTTAAAATTTGTTCGACCTTGCAACCAAAATCACAATATAAATAAAAATATCACAGAAGAAGAAATAAAAGTGGAATCAATACATACTTTAGCAGGAAGAGATTTTTCCACATCTTTTTTAACTCGTCTTAATATATAAGGCTCTAATTGTTTGTGTAATTTTGTATAACCCTTATTTGCTGAGTTGTCATGTTCTCTTTCAAATTCTTCCCAATTGTTAAACCTTGAAATGGAATATTTTCATTACTCAAAAATTCCCTTCATATTTTTAACATTTTTCATTATTATAACTTACTTTTGGGGCATAATAAAGTGCAGTAAAGCCCAGAGTTCTTTTAAACTATTTTGCAGTGGTGTGCCTGTTATAAGTAATCGATGATTTGTGTCAAAGTCTTTCAAGGTTTTGTACAATAAAGAATCATCATTTTTTAGTCTGTGTGCTTCATCGACCATCAAAACAGCCCAACTTAAACTTCCGAGAAAGGACTTATCCTTTAAAACTATTTCGTATGTTGTGAGTATAGCATTAAATTTGAGTCTTTTTGATCCTTCATAGCACCATTCGTGGTTTCTTATCTAAACGATAAACAATAAAAAAATAATACAAAAATACAATAAACTTAATAAATTGTTAAAATTTTAACTTACAACATCACGTGATGTTACATCACCGATATAGGTAACAACATTCATTTCGGGTGCCCACAGAGAAAATTCTCTTTGCCATGAAGTCATTGTCGATAGAGGAACAACAATTAAAAAAGGCCCGTATAACTGATGGGCAAAGAATAAATAATATATCGAACATATAGTCTGAAACAGTGAAAAGGGAGTGTAAAAGATGAAAAATGCAATAATACTGTCATTTAGTCTGATCTTTTACCTGGATGGTTTTACCAAGACCCATTTCATCTGCAAGTATCACTGAATTTTCTTTACACCAAGAGTGAACTAACCAATTTAATCCACTTATTTGGTAATCTCTTAGAACAAGAACCTACACATATTAATAAGATATTTAATCTAATATACTTTTACTTTTACAACAGTATTTGTTTTGAATATACAAGTAAAATTGTTGACGTGTACAAATTAAAGGTAAATTGAAACAAAATCTGGAAATTTAACACGTTCGTTACGGGTGACATTCTAGAACAATGAACTAAGCCCTTCCCCATATGCAGACGTTGTTCAAGAAAAATGCACCTCTTCTAGAAAACCCTCGCTTTTTGTAGCTTGTTATAGGATGAGGGTATTTTTAGAATTGAATCGATGTCACAGGCCTTAGTATTGCTTTGTCAACATTCCTGCGAAGACCATTTTATTATTTGACCTTTTAGAAATTTTTTGACTATTTTTTGAAAAATAATTCTATTTTTTCCCATAATAGGTTTTTTTAACATATAGTTGTGAAATACATTTCTCTTGATGGTAAATCGTTTTGTTTCCCCAAAATACTTTCATTTGAATCGAAGACAGAATGTCAAAGGAATTTCTTGTTCTTTCTGGCCCTTTTGCACCGTTTTTTGCTTGGTGTAATTTTTTATTAATTGTAAATAATTAGTAAATATGTAAGTATTTTGTAAATAATTATGAATAATTAGTATTATTTTTTTAAATAGTTGTAATTTTTTTACCACATTCATATTTTATTTAATATGCTTTAAAAACAAATATGTAAATATATATGAAATAATTGTGTTACAATTTAGTTAATTATTTATAATTCTCACAATATTATTAATAGTTAGTACGTAGAAATAAACAATCAAGTCAATTTTTTGATAACATACAGGCATGCATACATAAATAATGAGTAGATAAACAATAGATATTGCTGGTGCGACATCATTCTAGAACAGTGGGCTTAAAAATCTAAAAAAAGTTAATTTTTTGTATCAAATCTTAATCAAACCATTTACGAACCTAAATAGATTTTAAAAAACATCTACATTTCAGAAGGGTCTTTACAAATCACTGCCATAACAAACGTATTAAAAACAAAATAATTTAAAAATAAGTAAATAAAATAAAACAAATAAACAGCACTACAATGCAAAGAATCATCCAGTAATGACTCTTCTAGGCCAAGTCTCACTGCCCAGCAGATTATCAGGCCACTGCTGCTTTAATTTCCTGGGAGGATTATTGGGAATAATACGTGATGTTAAGGTTAGGACTAAGGGATTAGGGTGTAATGAAAGGGATTTGTGGAATTTATGACATCTTTCTCAAAAGATATGTTAACATTATGGGTTGTATAACTGGATACACAGAAGGAGCGTTTATTATTTTTTGGAGGATTTTGGATTTACAATGGTTAGTTGGATATTTGGTTATCCTGTCCAAATGGGCTTTATTATCATGTTGTATATCAGTCATTTGTTGTGAAGTGTCAGTTTTGATAGTTTATCTAGTAGTCATGAGGTGATTGAGGTAGGTAGGTGTAGGTTGGTTAGGTTTATGGGGCTTTGGGATCATCTTTATAATGTAAAACTTCCAATTAAGGGAAAATGAGTAGTTCTTAGGACATCGTGATAAAGATACATTTGGAAAAGTATGGCTTTTTTTGGGAGGAATCTAAGGATTTGAGCTTTTATAAGGTATACAGGAGCTTTCTTTTTGGGAAGGTTTTTGATAATACACTGGACCTCTGAAGGACGAAAAGCTTTCGGGGAAGGGAAAGAGGTAGTGATTGGACTAGTTCTTTCAATGATTTCTGTATGTTCAGGATCTATTGTCAAGATGAGGGCGGAATATTTAGGAAGTGTTGAGCAAGGAGTGAAGCCTTTTCTTCGTAAGACTTGGCTCATGGTACATTGTCATTTGTGATTTGTCTTCAGTCATTAGTTGTGTAAATTAAAAATTTAAACCTACCTGATCTCCTCCCATATACGTAGGCTGTTCATCAATTTTAACAAATTTTGGCCTAGATTTTAAAACCCGGCACATTTTGCTGGGTGTCCTTCTTGATTCTTCTCTTTCTTTGAACTCTTTGATTTTTTTAGGCCATTTTCGTTCAATCAATGATGCATCTTCCCAAGTAGCCTCGGAATATGGTAAAGATTCCCACTTAATGAAATATTCAGATTGATCTCCAGATTTTGATTTTGCTGGAAAATATTAATAATAAAACATAAACTTGCAAATTTCAGTTGAGCTAATTTTCAAAACTTGGTGGCTCTATGTTTTAACTGACATTCACAAAATAAAATAAACATTAAAATTGATCATAGATTTACCTATTATTCTTTCAACATGGTTGTAACTTTTAAGTAATTCTTGCTGCAGTTCCAGCTGGCATTCATGATATTCAATATCTTCAGGAGTAGTATGTTTCTTCCAAAATCTTATTTCTTCCTCACGCTTAACAAAATTTTCTAATTTTTTTACTCCTTTTACCTACACAGAGCAAATTAATAATAAAATTAATTAATCTTCTAGATTATCTGTTTTGCCCAGGCCTTGATTTTAGGCCTGATTACTCAAAAAATTGAGTTTAAAATGTACAATCCAGTCACCTGACAAGATTTCATAAATAGAATAATCGAAAATACCTTTTGTTCTTTCAGTGATTCCTCTGATTCCCATGTGTTGTGGATGTGTGACCATCCTTTCCATTTAATTAAATACTGTACTTCTGTGGTTTCAGTATCAGTAGGATCACAGTCATGATTCGGATCACCATTCTCTTCAACTGCATAAATAGTGGTTTGATTTCCAACCACTAGAAAAATTGTGTCATACTGATTAGCATATCATTTGTGTATGCATTATAAAAATAAAGATTTACATACCTCCTTTTTTGCCGATTCGCTGTGCAAGAACTTTTTCAATAGTTTCGGAAGTGTCAGGAACAGGTGGTATATCAATTTCTGATGGTAGCTGGTCCAATAATTCATCGTCATCTGTCTTTTCTTCATCAGAAGCTTCTTTATAACTCACGGAGGAAATACCTCGGCGTGATTTAATTCTAAAATGCAAGCATTATTAAATACAAAATAACAACAGATGCCAAATAAGCTTCTACCTCTTGCTGCTGTCATCATCTGATTCATAACTTGAATCAGATGAGTCTGATGAAGCTCGTTGTCGGGCTCTAGGTTTTGGTTTATTTTTTTGTGGACGAGGGGGTTGACGCCTACCAGGTGGTTTGCTAGGTGGAGGTTTTTTATCTTCTTTATCAGTTTCGCTATCATAGCTTGTGTCTGAATTCCAGCTTAAAGGAACATATAAAAAGTTATGACAGGACAATATTTCCTGATTTTAAAGTGTATATATTAGTTTCCCCCTCTTAATAATATTGTAAATGATTCTATGTCCATCTTTATAATATATTTTTAATATTTTTCAAGTCCATAATAACAACTTGAAACTTTTGCAACTTGCATGTACAAACTTTTAGGTAAAATATTACTTACTCTTTGGGTGAAGAACTAGATTTCTTTTTAGATTTTTCACTGTCATCACTGTCACCAGCTAGAAGACGATCTGGCTCTTTCCTTTGTCTGTTAGATCTTCGAATTCCATAAATATCAGGATTCTGCTCCCAGCACTAATTTTTAAAATTAATTAATTTGTGATTTAAAGGACAAGTATAAACACATTTTTTCCCTTTTATGGGAATGGCTTGAGACTAGTAATACCTGTCAGTAATACTAGTAACGCTTTAATCAAAAATTGGTAATTCCTATTTCACGATTATGAATACAATTTAAAAACCTTTTTAATAAAAACCGAAAATGTTCCCATTTTGTCTAGAAATGAAACATAATTTATTGAAGTTGTATTATTTTTACAATCTACAAGTAAAATTTAACTTATACACATTATAATACTATAATTTAAAATTATATTTACCTGTTTTATATCTTTCCCTTCTCTTTCGGGAGTTGGCCTGGGACTTTTAGATTTTGAATCAGAATCACTTCCTGAACTCTTAGATGAAGATGATGAAGAACCAGAATCACTGTAATAAATTGCTTATTACCATCTTCAATTAATTCTCATACAAATAAATTTGTAAACTGCAAACTGTTGATTACAAAAACAAAATGTAATCAAACATAATGCGATCCCCCTCCCATTCATACAAGTTATGCTGTGCATCTAAGGCCCAAATATTTCAATAATTCCTCAGTCAAAGTCCAAAGGTTCAAAGTATTATAAAGATAGATTTAATTTGAATCTATATTATAAATATATTATAAGTATTGTTAAGTACTTGAGGTAAATGCACTAGGATATGAAGCACTGAAGAATGATAGAAGCATGTATACATGAGGTGCACAATTGTGGCACTAAACTATAAAAGTAGCTAGGTAGTAAATTAATTTTTTTAAAATATATTGTTATTATTGAAATGGAATTAAGGCTCATGGCTTGCCGTGAGAATCGCCTATAGGTGTCCTATGGGCTTGCCACAGTCCATCGTTGGACTTCAATCTTGTCTCGTCCTGCCCACTGACATAAGGCTTTAGGCTATAGACAAACTGTACAAGTAATACCAATTGATTAACAATTTATAAACCGGCTTGTTAAACCACAAACATAAACTTAAATTAATTGATTGGATAAACTGTACATAAAAACAAGATATTTAAAATATCTAGTTTTAAAATTTGGCTTGATAAATGACAATAACACAAATAATTAAAATAAAAGTTAAGTTGAAGAGTTTTTATGATGTTTATAATGTATAAAACTAGTTCATGACATTTGAAAAACATGCTTGTTATCATAAATTAAAGATTAATTGTTTGAACATAATTATCTAGCCATAGTTTGTTTGTTTCCGATCATTTACCTAGCCTAGTCTTGGCCTGTCAGATGAAAATGATCTGAAAAGTTCAAGAGACAGGCCCATCACCCCACACAACTCAAGAAGAAATCTAAAAATTATGATTTATAATATAACTATCACATTAACACAAAATATCTAAAATTTATTTGTTATAATTTAACTATCAGATTAACTGGATGTTTTTTGGAGAACGGTGCCAGTATTCTTCCATCAAAGAAACCCATTTTCGAAGAGATTCAGGACCAAATTCAGGATCACTGAGATCCGAACCCGCCCCAGACTGCCCACTGATGAGTGCTGTATCAATTTTCATTGCAGCAACCGGTCCCCTTAAGCATCAAAAAATATGTCCAGTGGTGACGAAGGGAATCAAACCCACGGTTGCAGAATCTACTAGCTGAGTCTTACCGACTCAGCTAGTCCCCCCTATGCACGAGTTAGAAATAGTTAGGTCGAATAGGGTTAGAGTTAGGATAGAGTCAAGGACGGGTTAGGCTAGATCGGGTCAGAGTAAGGATGGGTTAGGAATATTTAGATCAAATAGGATAAGTGTGGTGATTAGTGACCGTTAATCGATAATTATTCAGAAATCATATGAGACCGCATCTCACGATTTCTGAATAAATAGGATAAGGTTAGAGTCAAGGATGGTTAGGCTAGATAGGGTCACGGTTAAGGAAATATTAGGAATAGTTACGTCAGGTAGGGTAGATAGAGTCGAGTTAAGGACAAATTAGATGAGTTAGGCTAGAGTTAAGGTTGAGTTAGATTAGATAAGGTCAGAGTTAAGGACGGGCTAGGTGAGATAGGTCAGTGTTAAGGACAGGTTTGGAATTGTTGGTTAGGGTTAGNATTAAGGTTTTCAGTTGAGATAAAAAAGTCAATGGCACGAGCGGGATTCGAACCCACGATCTTCGGCTAGATACGCCGCTGCTCTACCACTTAATGAGATGGGAAGTTAGTGTCCGAATGGATTGAGGTCACGATAGCTCAAGTGGTAGAGCAGCGGTGTATCTAGCCGAAGATCATGGGTTCGAATCCCACTCGTGCCATTGACTTTTTTATCTCAACTAAAAACCTTAATTAATTATTACAGTTAAGGTAGATTAGGTTGGTTTAGTGTACAGTTACAGTCAATGACAGATTAGGTTAGATTAAGGACAGGCTAAAAATGGTTATGTTAGCTAGGGTTAGATAAGAATTAAAGATGTGTTATGAATAGTTAGATTAGGGTTATTACAGTTATAGTTAAATTACTTTCAAACCTGCCAGAATACTGAGGCAAGAGTTTGGAAGATGACTGAAGAGATCCAAGCCATTTGAGTTAAGGTTTTGAAAAGTTAACTATTGATACAAATGAGTTGAGTGAAGATTTACTTTTATCATATTGTCAGTGTAAATTAATACATGTTGCCATTTGACCACCATAAATAAAATGTAATAAAAACAAATTTATAAAACCGATTATAACATTTTCTAACAATTGTCAAATCACAAAATCAAAATTATTTGTTGTATTTAACAAACATTTATTACACAAAGCCAATTAATAATTTAGAAACATTTTAAATTTCTTAAGAAAATGCATCATTGAATTAATAAAAATTGAAAATTATTTATTGAATTGGATAAATATTCATTACCATAGAACTAATTCATAATATATAAACATCTCAAAAACCAAATCAGTCAAAAGCATCAAATCTGTGGGGGAATAAAAAACTTAATTAATTAATAAAATAAACATTTACTATAAATTAATATTCATTAAAAAAATTGATTAAGAGAAAAAAATTGTGAACATAAAAATTAATTATTAAATTATAAAGTATTTGTGTTCATAAGAATATGAAGTAATTTGTATAAAGATTTTAGAAACTAGGCTGTTAAAAAAAGCAATAATTAATTAATTAACCAGATTAACAATAATTAAATCAATTAAAATAATTATTAACTGAATTAGTTAAACAATTCTGTTCATAAACATTTTATTGACTTGAAACGTGCTTCTTTTTTCTTTTATTTTTTATTTTTTTAAGATAATAAAAATTTGTATTCAGTCTTCATCACGATAACAGAACTGCGTTATGAGTAATTCTAAGAAATTAACATAATTTCATTTTGTGTTTCAAATGGTATGAGTAATCAGAAATGCTTGATAAGGAATGCTGTTAATCAAGGTCTGTATCAATTATTATGTCATTAAAACAATTTGTATTAGTCACAAACCACCTGCCCAAAATCAAGATTATTTAACGCTCAAGTATTAATATGGTATGATTTATAATTATATTTTAAAAAATTAATTTAAAAAATAAATAAAAATTANATAAACATACGTTCGTGCGTGGTGCATTGTTTCAAAAAAAAAATTTTTGTTTTCTTTTAATTTTTTTTTTTTTTTTAAATCTGCCTAGAGGCTCCATTACATATTTCCCGTTAAGTCAAATTTCACTTCAAATATTAAAAGAATCATGATTATATTTCCTTTTATTATTTACTCACATTTTATAATTAATTAATTGTATACTTGTATGCCCTATGTTCATCGAGGAAAAATTGTTAGTTAAGCGTTTTCAAAATGAACAAGGGAAAAAAGAAAAAAGAGATGTATTGGAAAATTTTGAAATTTGAAAATTCATATGGTAATTCGTTTAGGTTTAAAGAACAGCAAATAAACTAATATTGATTTAAAAAAACACTAGAATAAACTAATAAAAGGAACAATTAATTTGTAGATTGTCTAAATTGCAATAAAAAAACAACAAAGGTATTACATTAAAATATTAGGTCATATTTGAATCAATTTGTTTCTGAGAATTGGGTTTTATAGAAAACAATATATATACGATTATCTCTACATTTTTTTTTTTTTACATTGCACTTTAAACAGTTGATATTTCAGGGACACAATGGATGTCATACTCTAGACAAAAGTTCCTTGCAGAAGATTTATCGCATTAGCATTAAGCAGTGTTATCGATGCTAAGTGACAATGAAAAAAAAAAAAAATCCAAAACCATGAATTTATAGAAAAGCCATACAAAAATGTTGAAATTGTTCATCATAATCTCAATGTCTTAAGCCCACTAAACAGAATTATTCAAAAATTCTGGCGAAAGTCAGGAAGTACGCCATGGATGATAGGTGGTAATCAGAAGGTACAAGATTTGGGTGGCAAGTAAGGAAGATCTAATTCCAACTCCCCGATTTCTGATTTAGAGTCTTGGGCATGTGGACATGTATGGACTCGTGTTATCAAGTTGAAAAAAAATTTCCTATTCAACAGGGATCCGATACCAAAGATGAGTATAGTAAGTTGGACAGAATAAACCTCTGAGGTACCTTCAGGGACCAACTCAAAATTTTCAAAATGTTTTCTTTTAACTGGTAGTCCCTGGCTTAATCCACTGTTTTAACATAAAATTTATTTTTCATCATAAATGACAATTCGATTCATGAAACTCATTTGGGTTCTGCAAATTTTTCTGAAATTTTAGCCTCCGTGGTATCAATTTTACAGCTTCTGGAACTTAACATGTCATGTAAGTGCCAGAAAACAATCCAATCGGATCTTTTTCTACATATTCTTTCAGACTTAGAATCGAGAAACCTGGAACACCCAGTCCGATGTTTATTTTTATGGGTAAAATTTTTTTAAATTTCCTGAACCATGCCTGGTCAGCACAAATGGAAACTGTCCCCTATGCTTGACTGAATTCTCTAGCAACTTTTTTCCTCTTTCGGAAGGTGTTCTCCAAAGAGAGATTCTTATCATCTGATAACACATTACTCAAATAAGTACATTTTCAATGTTTTCCCTCCTTACATTTTGTTAAGATATAATTTATTATTAACTGTTCGCACTAGGCCTCCAAAACTTTTCATATAAATCAAGTATTTCTTTTCTTTCTTTTCAAGCCCATCTTTGACAAGACGGAGCCATGCTAACATTAATTTGAATCATCAAATATTGGAATCAATTGAAAAGAAATAAGACTGTAGGGCGGAGGGGGAGAAGTTAACAAATTCACAGAACTAATTGTAAACATAATTGGATGTCATGCTGAACCAGCACTGGTCACTGGGCCTGTCTTCACTTGCGGTTTGATGAATAAACACGTTTCAACAACTTCAGTGACAAACAGGACTCAGTGCCGGTTCATCATGAGTTCACCAACTCACAAAACAGACAGCATATATTCATTTTAACACTGCCTAAGAGAAATGGACCTATTCAGCTTGTCTGTCACAAGTTTTTTGTAATGTTAACATAGTGCCCTCCCATAAGTAAAGGTAATCTTCCTTGCTGGTGCATGTGTAACTAAACAGTAAACAGAGGATTCCCTTATCGGAGGTTTAACTACAGAACTAACTCATGTTAAATAGGTAAAAAAAAGTACATGTACTTCTTGAATGATGTTTAATGTAACACTGGCTAAGTAGTGTATTTTAATCATTTGAATAACACAGCAAATGTAAACACTAGAGGTATTTGCATTGTAATTTTTAATTAACATTAATATTTTTAACAGATCATATTTTTTTCATCTTAGTATTTTATTGTCATATAAAAGAAGGAAAAAACGCAGACTATAAAATAAATAGGTTCGAATGAGAATTCCATTAGTATTATTTGTTTACAATAAAACCTGTCGTCTGCGCATGAATCTGTCAATTCTGATGTTTTAATATTATGTTTTAATAATTGGAGAAGTTAGCTCACCTGTCTGAACCAGATCCGCTGTTGGAAGACGAATCGGAATTGTTTGTGTTGCTACGCTCCTGGTCGCTTTCTGATCCAGAGTCATCCCCAGAACCATCTTGTTGCTGGAAGAACGAAAAAAATGTTACAGTCAAATGGCCAGTTGTAACAGACGCTACCACACGACTACATAAAAAACTGTAAAGACATATGGAAAGCTTTCAGTTTACTCAATAAGTATCGAGCTGGTGTTTACTCGAAGGCCAATGAGGAGGAATCAAATTGAAAATCCTTTGAAGGAAATTGAAGAAACTCTCAAAGAGTAATGGAGTCGAGTGTTACATTTCGATATGAAAGAGGTGAAAAACAACAAAGTATAAAAGGTGAAAATCTTGTGAAAATTGTTAAAACTTTCTAGTTGAGTAGGATGGCTCTTCCTTTGTTCATAATAAGACAGGTAAGTTCAAAATAATCTTCAAAAGACCGCCTGTTCGCATCTGGCACGAGTTAAACGCCGAAAACCGATTACATTTGTCAAAATTGCCAATTTGGGTACACTTCGGATTTTGGAGATTTTTCGCCCAACGGTCCCCCGACGTTGGGGCTACGTCGGGAAACTAGTTTTTGGACGAGACGCCTTATATTCACCGAGATACCATTGATTTTCGGATGTAAACAAAGTCGAGCCGTACTCGTCTGTGAAGGAGTTATTGAGTAATTTCCAAGGCCCTAGAGTTCTGAAACGCACCCGACAAGGCCTGGATGGTACAGAACACCTCGGAAAACATTTCCAATGGGAAAATCCTCCGATTCCAACGATTCAACCCTCGTTTTCGACTGTCATTTCCCTCAGGTTATGTTCTGAAATAAGACTTTTCCCAGGGGGAAAACGAGATCAGGCCCGCAGGGCGGAGAAGTTATGCAATACTCCGAAACATAGAAAATAACATAAAAAACTATAACAAATAAGTAAGACACTGTTTATATTTACCTGTGACATTATAATTCGTTGTTTTCGGTCAACTTTCACATCTAGTAAAACAGTCGTAAATAATAGTTAACCGTTTTATTTTGAGATGAAAACAGCCGAAATACGAACGGTGTGTATTTACAAACTGATATGACAAAACTACCTCCGTATTAGCACATTTTCACTCGATTTTTCTCTTTAAGGCCGATTTCGAATATAGCGATTGGAGTGAACTGGTTTTCTCGACCCTCGTTGGAACTGCTGCAAAAAGGAATCTAGATGACGCTTCACAACTCAAAATTAAACAAAATACAATTTATTTGAGTAAATACAAACTATTGTAACGGTTCTCGGCTCAACAACATAAATGCTACATAATGGACCACCACGCACTCAGTTCGGCCATTTTCTGTTCGCCTTGAACGGAATTCCCAGAATGCCTTTCGGCCGATTACGTTCGCGACCACGGACAAAGAGGTGGACCAGCCGTCAGATCACCGCCCCCCTAGCCCGCCAATTTTCAACCTACACAAAATATTCTCTTTTTTGATTTCAAATTAACAATTTTAACTTCAAATTAACCTTCTTCTACTTCAAATTTACTCTTTTTTATTTCAAATTAGTCTTATTTAACTTCAAATAAATCTTGTTTAATTTCCAATTAACCATTTTTTATTTCAAATTGATATTTGAAGTTAAAATTAAAAAAAGGCTAATTGAAATTACACAGAATAAATTTAAAGTTGTAAAAACCTAATTTGAGTGAGCGCTCACAACACGACACACAGTAATGACACATCTACATAGAAAACAAACACTTTGAACCCTGAAGAGGATCTCAATAAAGATCGAAACATTAGCAAAGAAAAGGATTTTTTAAACTTACATCACACCAGACCGTATCCCACGATCTCCAATTAATAATTTGAAGTTAAAAAAAGTTAATTTGAACTAAAAAAAGGGTAAATTTGAAATAGAAGACGGTTAATTTGAAATTAAAAAGGTTAATTTTATATTAAAAAGAATGAATTTGAAGTTGAAAAAAGCTAATTTGAACGAAAAAAGAGTAAATTAGAAATAGAAGACGGTTAACTTGAAATTAAAAAAGGTTAGTTGGAAATTAAAAAGAATAAATTTGAAGTTGAAAAAAGCCAATTAGAAATAAAAAATAGTAAATTTGGAGTAGAAGAAAATTAATATGAAGGTAAAAAAGGTTAATTTGAGGTTATAAAAGCTAATTTTAGATTAAAAAGAATAAATTTGTAGTTGAAAAAAGCTAATTTGAAATAGTCAAAGCTTTTCAACTCAATTAAGACCTCAGATAAAATGTATATATTGGAAGTTGTAAAAAGCCAATTGGAAATTAAAAAAAGTAAATTTGGAAATAGAAGATGGTTAATTTGAAGGTAAAAAAGACTAATTTTAGATTGAAAGTTACATTTGAAGTGGAACAAAGCTAATTTGGACTAAAAAAGAGTAAATTTGAAATTAAAAGATAAATTTGAAGTTTAAAAAAGCTAACTTGAAATAGTTAAGTCAAGGTAACTCAAGTGGTTAGAGCAGCGGCGTATTAGGCCGAAGGTCGTGGGTTCGATTCCCTCTCGTGATGCTAACTTTTTCATCTCAATTGTTGAAAATGTTGTAATTATTTAAAAATCCTGTAGTTTAATATAGTTTATAATAGAAACTTTTTTAATGAAATTTTTCTTTCTTTTAACTTAGATTTAGACCAGTTATGTAAGAATTGAATAATGTGAGCATATTTTTGTATGTCTGTTAAAATTGTATAGAAAGTATTAAATGAGTCGAGCATCTAATAGTTGTCAAAGACTTATTTGTAGAGTTTTCGTTCGTCAAGTTACAAATCATGAATATTTATAATTTTCTAATGTACAACTAAAACTTCATTTGTGCCCGTTGGATGTGTTTACATAATAAATATAATTTCTTGTATATTATGGTATTAAGACAGAGTATGTTGGAATCGTACAATGACGAACATACTTCAATGACGTAGCTGGAATTTGCGTATGTTCTGTTTTGAACGTCCGATAAGTAACCTCTTCCGTTGGGCCTCCCTATTTAACTTCGTTTTTTGATTTTTTGTCAATTCAGAAAATTTCATATTGTCGGCGTGTTCCCTATAAATCCAAGAACATTTCTCAGATAACTTATTCGTTTTAGCTTAGGAAATTTCAGGGAGTGAGTATATCAAGCGTTCATTATCATTTCCAATTTATTTTTATATTTATTTAGCAAATATTAAAATTACTTTTTAATGATTTGTTTAGATGAAACAAAATAAACTGTAGTGAGATTTCTACATATGGTCTGCAGGATTTTGTGTTTGACAAGGGTAAAAGAGCTGGGATAGGCAGACTAGATTAAGAAGTCTGTTCCCCGACTCTTTCAGTTTTCTGCCTCAACTTAACTAAGTGTTGTGTCGCTACTGAGTGTATCATTTGCTTTTCCAATCCTTCACTTTTGTATTACTTCTTAAACTGGAGGGAAGGAAAAATCCTATTTCTGGAATTATTCGATCCTTCTGTTATGAAATTTCTAGCTTATTGTACGTTTCTCAGTTTCTTGGTTTAGTTCAGTTGACTCAATCCTTCTCTTAAGAAGGTTCTGGCTTATAGTACTTTTCTCAGTTCCTTTTTTCAATTGACTTGATCCTTCTCTTAAGAAGGCTGTGGCTTATGTACTTTTCTCAATTCCTTAATTCAGTTGACCCAATCCTTCTCTTAAGAGGTTTCTGGCTTATTTTATTCTTTTTAGTTCCTTAGTTCAGTTCAATTGACCCGATCCTTCTGTTATGAACGTTCTGGCTTATTGTACTTTACTCAGTTCCTTTGTTCAATTGTGCCTGTTCTCTATTTCAAGTCCTTTGACTTGATCATGTTAAGAAGTTTCTGGTTTACTTTATTTTTCTTAGTTCCTTAGTTCAGTTCAATTGATTCAATAAATCTCTTAAGAAGTTCTGGGTTATTGTAGTGTGCCAAGTTCTCGAGTTCAGTTCCTTTGACTTGATACTTTCCTTAAGAAGTTTCTGGCTTATTGTAGTGTTTCTAGTTCTCAAGTTCAGTTCCATTGACTTAATCCTTCACTTAAGAAAGTTCAGTATTATGGACGTTTCTCAATTCCTTAATTCAGTTGAAACAATGCTTCTCTTTAGAGGTTTCTGTCTTATTTTATTTTTCTTAGTTCCTTAGTTCATTTCAATTGACTTTCTTTTCAAAGTCACTTTCTCCGTTTTCTTAAGAAGTTTCTGGCTCATTGAACTGTTCCTAGTTCTCTAATTCAGTTACATTGACTATATCCTTCTCTTAAAAAGTTTCAGACTTATGTAATGTGCCTAGTTCTCTAGTTCAGTTCCATTGATCGATCCTTCTCTTAAGAAGTTTCTGCATTTATCATAGTTCCTTAGTTCGGTTCCTTTGACTCGATCCTTCTCTTAAGAAGTTTCTGGCTTATTGTAGTGTTCCTAGTTCTCTAGTTCAGTTCCATTGATCGATCCTTCTCTTAAGAAAGTTTTGGTGTATTGTGTTGTTTCTAGTTCTCTAGTTCAGTTCCATTGATTCAATCCTTCTCTTGAGAGGTTTCTGCTTTTATCTCAGTTCCTTAGTTCAGTTCAATTGACTCGATCCTTCTCTTAAGAAGTTTCTGGCTCATTGTACTGTTCCTAATTCTCTTTATCAGTTCCATTGACTGGATATTTTTCTTAAGAAGTTTCTGGCTCATTGTACTGTTCCTAATTCTCTTGATCAGTTCCATTGACTGGATATTTTTCTTAAGAAGTTTCTGGCTTATTTTACTTTTCCTAATTCATTTCGATTAATTTGATCCTTCTCTTAAGGAGGAGAGTAAGAAAATAGAGAGAAATTGCTAAAATCCCTGAAAGCAATAAAAAAACCTTTGATTGGTAATCAGTGATTAGTAATGATATAATTAATTCCTAATGTCTTTAATGTAACAAATAATATTATTATCGATTTAAACAATAAATGTGGGTTAAGTCCAAAACTAAAAAATATTGAGAATTATAGGGTGTTGTGATATTTTTGATTGGTAATGTAGTTTTCAGACTAATCATCAATTATGATATGACAACGTGTAGAGATTAGTGACCGTTAATCGATAGTTATTCAGATATCGTGAGATGCGGTCGGGTGTGATGTAGGTTTCAGAAAAACATTTTCTTTATCATGCCAACGCTTCGATCTTTTATTGAGATCATTTTCAGGGCCTGGGATTTACATTTTCTCATCCTAAATGTATTTGTTAAATGTAAACATTGTTTGTAAATATGACATAACACAAAAAGCCTCACTACAGTTTCGTATGTAAGTTAAGTAGCTAAACCATATTGAAACTGTCTGTCAATCTGTGAAGAAGAAATTTTTCTGGTGTAGTATTATACATATATATATTTTTTTTATTTCAGGAAAAATGATCGGCCATTGAAAAGACAGTGAATTTGAAGGATTTTCAATTATTTTGAACACATCTAAATGGAGTTGTTTTTTTTGGTATAGTGCAAATATAGATTTTTCAGAATGATTCAGTTTATATATAAATTATGTAATTTTTATTATATATTTTTAAGAAAATCCAATATCTGCAATTGCTTTATTTATCTCAAGGTGATCATTTAAGCATTGAACACTAATGGATGTATAGATGACAAAAAGGATATAATATTATCTTTTTAATAAATTTCATTATCAATATTATATTTTCGTATCAATAGTTCTAATAATATGTGAAATACACAGAAAAAAATGGATTGAAAACATGTTATACAAAAAATAAATCTTATTGAAAATATGATGAATTGTATAAATTGGGAAACAGTGAAGTAAAAATCTGAATGGATGAATTTAATGTGGGACTTTCACTGAGAAAAATATTGTAAATTTAACCAAGGAGTTACATATTTGTACTATCATTAAATTGGTATTGGAAAACAGATAAATGTTTTGGTTGTAACACATTGATGTTATTATATAAAATATAATAACATATTTAAAAAAAGAAACAAAACTATTTTTAGCTATTGTTGTTAAATTTGATACTGTATTAGGATTGTTGACTTAAATTTAGCAAAGTAACAATAAATGTCAGTTACTTTCCGGCTAACTTTAGATGGAACTGAGTTTTTATGATGTAGGGCATTGATAAAGCTAAAGCCACAAATTAGACTCATGAAATTTTATCATTGAGCATGAAAGCATTATATAATAGAAAATAAAAGGAAATAATTTAGGTATGAATTAGTATCTATTTTCTAAGTAAGCTTTTAAAAAAGGTATGGGTTTAAGTAAAATTTAATATTAACCGAGTTATTTCAACATGAAGATTGATTGCAAATATAATACAAAATCATTCCCTCTCGTATTCACTATGTTAATTCTGTTGCTTTACTTAAGTCATTCGCAAGTTGGAGAATATACGCAGAAAAGTGTTCCGAAAAAAACTCTGTCAACGTCTGTTTGGTGTCAGACTTCCAAATTTGGCAATAAAAAGTGTTCTTTTCAAAATTTGTGCTTCAACAAGTACTTAAAATTTCTCTTCGTACTGACAGAAAGTTCAATTTTATCAGGCGTCAAATTGAGAAAGGATTTGGAGACTATAAAGACGTCTTCAGTTACAAATAATTCAGCGTTTTTCCTGAAAATGTCAATTGTGTTTCCATCCCAATTTCCTTCTAACGACATTGAATGGTTTCATGACGATATATTCGCCTTGACGCGCTTCAAACCGGATAATATAATGCATGTTATTCACGATGACCTTTTACCATTGCACAGCTCATATAAAGAACTGTGCTTAGGTAATGTTTATGAGTGCAGTAGAAGGTTTCAGCTTGCATTTTTAGATGAACACGGAAATGGACCATTTATAGAATGGTACAAGGCTTACTCTTCCAAGTCTCTGATTCATTTTTCCTCCTTTGAACAGTCAAAGACTATTTGTTTTTCAAAACTGGTATTTGCAATAGATGAAGACACTGTGTTTTACCAGTATGGTTATAAAATTCCCCATGGCCCGGTGCATACAAGCTTGTCACCTGCTCTCATACTTGATTTTAAAAACTATATGCTTGGACATTTCAACATTAAACATGAAAATGTACCAAAGACACAAGTGTATACTTTGTTGTCTCGTAAGTTCAATAGAAAACTATTAAATGAAGCGTACATAATAGAAATGATCAATCAGTTAAGTCTACCTTCAAAACCATGCGTACTGACATTTGATGTAGTGCAAAATTCAACAAATGAAATTTTGACCTTGATTTCATCATCTTCATTATTTATTGGTATGCACGGTGCAGGTATGATGTTGAGCATATTTTTACCCAAGGATTCATCCGTTGTTGAATTGTTTCCATTTGCAATACACAAAGAATATGTTTCGCCTTTGTATGCATTGACAAAATTAAAAGGCCTACACTTCCGTTATAATTCCTGGACGAATTTGAATAAAAACAACTCAGTTTTACATCCAGAATATCCCAGTAAGCTAGGAGGTGTGAATCATTTGCCTCGAACTTATCAGCTCGATATTATAAATTCAAACAGTGTTCCACCAGTTTTTTGTTGTGACAACCCTCTATATTTGTTTTGGATGTATCAGGACACTATTGTCGATTCGAGTATAATTCCTGTTTTGAATAGTTCTCTCATAACAAAATACACTCCTGCTTTTATTAATAAAGAAAAATGGTTTTTTCCTGGTTCTGTTAGGAATTTCAAAATCGGTTATTTTGAAACTGTCTTATTCGCTTCTTGGTCTCCTCCTTTCAACACATACGGGATCAATGTGTCGTACAGTCTTTTATTATCTACACCGTTTAAAAATGTAACTTTGATCACTAATGAGGTAAATGTGACTTTAAATTTTAACAAGAGGCTAGATGCTTGCCACGGTTGGGTTTTATGCATTTTTGATGGCATTGAGGGCGTAGACACATTCTCAAAATGTAATGATACAACTTATTAATTAGGTGTTAAGCCTGTTTAATTGCCTACTATAAATGACAATCTGGTTTTATATTGTATTTTTAGGAAGAAAGATTAAAATCTTAATTGTGTATTGAAAAAACCTTGGCCAAACTTTTGTAATGCGGTGTTAAGTTTGGTTTTAGTAAGTTGGTATGTATTGCTTAATATAATCTTTAAGGCCAAGCAACATTTAGTTGCCTTTATTTTAATGCATGTATGTATAGACTGAAACTCGTGTTTAAAAATTATTGTGATATTTATTACATGTACATACCTTGATATACTATTGAAAATAAATGATTTCCTGAAGATATCACGTTGTTTAATTTAATATATAGTATCCCAAATATGTATTTTGTGAATAATCTTGTTTTATTCATTTAACCAAGGATATGATTGGTGTTTACTGATTTATATAATCTCAAACTGCACATGCATGTACTTACCACACATGTATAGAGTTGAGTCTGCCGGTAATTCCAGCTTTCGCGTAATTTACAATAAATCATTTGTAGTCCTCGAGAAACTCATCCTGGGTGTTGGCAGTCTAAGTTCAGACTTTGGTCTTATCCATAAAGCCCCTGAGGTTGTGTTCCAGGGGATACGAACGACTAGGTAATTTCAGCTGAAGCCCAACATTCACTTTTTAATATCCAAAAGTGCTCCCTTTTAAATACATTCTTTCCTATTTACTCAGGGTGGTGTAGTATTCGACATCTACATCATCCTTTACACATACTATGTAACTAATCTAATTGAGGGTCACTGGTGATCTACATATTCATGCTAATAAATACATTCATTCACAATATATACAAAGGGACACAATGCGAGTACAGTATCGAGGCGAGTATCTATGAGTACAGAAAAACATCCAAGTTTACTCTAAAAATGGAAACAGGGTACCCAAATACTCTGCCTATTCAATCATAATTCTGATATCAAGCTCAACTCTGCACATGTATACTTGTGTAAGGAATTGAGCTTGAGACTTTATCTGGTTTTGGCAGTCAGACCTCGGTCCTCGTATGAACTTAGGTTTCGACTTGCCCCAACACATGCACTCATTCTTTCCTATTTACATGTCATTTATTCCGTTAGGATGGTGGAACATTCAATATTCTTTCATCAGCCCATCACATTCATGCTAATAAATATTAATCCATATATGTTTCACAGTCATAATTGACCATATTAATTATTTCAATTAATTATTATTTTTAAATATATTGTATATTTCTTAATATATTCAATCCCAATCTACCAAGAACTATGTTCAATAAAAGAGTTCTGTTTTACTCTAAATACTCGCTGTGGGATACTAGCATTATTCTCATGTACACGCTCCCTAAAAGGAGTCAAGGAACAACAGCTTTCTATTAATTGAGACACATTGCTATTCCATCATCAGCCTTTACACATACTATATAACTAATCTAATTGTGTTTCTATGGTATTCAACATTCAGCCTTCTCACACTATACATTCAAGCTAATAAATACATCCCTATACACAAAACGAGCTATGTAACAAGGACTGTATACGATAAAATTACTCTGTTTTCCTCTAAAAATCAAACAGGGATAAAAATACTTGCTGCCGTGCAAAATTTCACTTCTCACCTGGACACTGTACACAGCCAAGGAATGATATCCTTATATGATAAATGGTACATATCAATATTAGACCACTCCTATACTCATACTATGTAAATAACCTGATTGTGGTTGTATGGGTTCTATTCATTATGCCACAATCAGCCCTTTCACACTATACATTCACGCTAATATATACATTCAGTCTCAATATACACAAAGAAAGACATAACAAGCTATCTACCAAGAACTATTTACAATAAAACAACCTTGTTTTCCTCTAAAAATTAATCATGGGATCTAAATTCTCAATGCTGTGGTAAAGAAGAATTCTCACCTACCTGCTTGCTTTCTATAAAGAGCCAAGGAATCCTTCGATTAAATGGGACACATCGATATTCCACCATCACTCCTTACACATACTATATATAAATATAGTAATAATATATTTAATGTAAATATAATATATTAATATTATTATATTCAGATGATATTTATATAATATTAATAAATATATTATATAGCAATAATATATTTATTATATATTAATCAAATTGAAGGTGGGAAACTCAATATTCCGTAATCGGCCCTCACACACTACACATTCATGTTAATAAATTCATTCAGTCTTAATATGCATAAAGAAACAAGACGAGATATCTATAAAGTACTATAAACAGTAAAAAATTCCTGTTGACCTGTGGCATTCCTACACGCTCTCTATATGGATCCAAGGAGTGGCACCTTCAGTTAAGTGGCACACATCGAGTAAACGAGCAACCTTTCTCTACATGACGGACACATACGCGAGTGTTTGTCCAAAAGAAATTGCCTCAAGTCAACCTCGCATACCCTATCCTTAATCCTTTGGGAACAAGGATTTACTTACGTTAACCACTGATTTATTGAAATTTAAGTTTATTTAGGAAAGAGGGAAAGGGTGAGAGCTTAAATTACACAATCTCGCTTGTTTTATGCCATATTTGATGTCTTTTAATTTGCTTTAAAAATAAAAACAATAGAAAAAGAATAATTTCAGCTTTTTAGGGTTAGACCAAAATATACGTTTAAAAGTGATGTAGAGTATTTCGTATCGAGAAGTCACTATCTAGTATGTATTGATTGTGTAATAACGTATTTATGTGTATGGCTATGGGGGATGTTAGTCGTTGCTATGCCCGGGTATCCACTACAAAACGTCAAACGTAGTTCAAACTCGTCATTTAAAGTACCATCGCATTTATATTACATTGGGTGAATATTTTACATTTGTTCTACTCCCCCGTTTAATATTGACTTGCATTTTTACCACCTAAAAGTTTTATTTATTTATCTTTTATTAACGAAAACATTTCTTTGTGCTTTTCTTAAAATTGAATAAACTTCAAACACAACTTTATTGGACAATAATAATTATATACGTGTACAAGGGATATTTCAATGTTTTTTGTATTTCTTTTATAATTGTTTAGTGATTGTGTTCTGTTTTATTTTTTAAAGGTTCAATTTTGAACGAGTCAGACCTTTATCCGTCCCACTGCCGAAAGGCTCTAGGTCAACAGCTAATGTAAGTCGTTTCAGTCCCTAATAAAAGTTTTAAACGTAGACACATTCATTCTTTAATTCTTTCCTATTTACATACCATTCAATCAAGTAGGGTGAAGTCGATATTCCACCATGGGGCCTCTTACACTATTCACGCTGATAAATACATTCAATCTCAACACAAAACGAGATATCTATCAGTACTGTATTATGCAATTAAACAACCCTCCAATAATCGGAACAGGGGATCCAAATAGTACAGGGAGAAGAGAAACAACGTCCTTCAATTAAGTGAGACACACGGAGGAACCTTTCCCTACACAAAAGTCCATATGTCAACCTCGCATGACCTATTCTCAATCGGTGAGTATCATACCTCTTGTACAATTCAGATTCTCCAACGGACACTTAGCAACCGTGCTCTTGATAAGTTCGTGGTTATTTATAGTTATTGGATGTTTATTTGGAATTATCAAACCGCCAGTTTAGACATGTGGTTGACCATGTAACCAAGTTTTTCAATGCTGGTCCTCCTCATACATGGTCAAGCTTTTTATTTTTCAACAACTACGTACGTGTAATCTGATACCAGTGTTTGATCATATAACCAAGATGTTTAACCAAAGGAAGCATAGGCTGGACCTGCTTATGGTCATTTATTTTTCAACAAATACGAAACTACAGTCTTATAAAGTCTTAATTTTGCTTAGGGATAGTAATTTAGGATTATCTAATCCACCAGTTTAGACGTGTGGTTGACCACAAAGATGATTAGTACCAATATGGTAAATCAAAGTAAGCATTCCGATCTGGACTTGCTCGTCATTGATCATTGCTGCAATTTTTCCCCGGTATTCTTGCTATGCTAAGTTATGTCTACATTCAGTGATTACTTCTCATTCGAAGATTTTAGGGTCTATACGAGCTTTTCCTAGTTTCTGATTGTACTATTTCCAATAGAGGTTTAATAATGTTTCTAAAGCTTATTGGGGTTGTATTGCCCCTGTGATTTGCCAATCTTTGTATACTGCCTAGCTTTTGGAAAGCTTATTTTTTGTTGAGCTTTAGTCTACAAGAGGATCTTATTATTGCCCGTGTATAGTCCATATACCAGTGTTGATTTTAGTTTCTAAGATTTACCTCTAGTACTTCCATGTATGACAGTATCATCTTTATAGTGTAGATTCCGCTTTCATTTAATTTGCATGTAAGTCCATCCACAGCAGAGGCGAAAGTGTACTCCTCCCTCACGGCTCCCTCTGCTTCGACTTTTTGATGGAACTGTACTTTTTTTAGCATCTTATCTCTCTACAGGAGGTTTCATCAGGGGTGTCCATTGCTCCGAAAGGAGTGCTTTCAGTGCACCTTGGAGGCCGCCATTCTCCAGATTTGCTGCCCTAAAGACTCCAAACCATTTTCCAAGTCGGTCAACCATCTAAGTTGTCTACCTCTCGGTTTGCTCCCGTACAATGTGACTTTGGGACCTTTTGTCTCATCCATCCTGTGCACAAGTCCCAGACATTGCAGCCTACCTATCTTAATAAAGTCCATAATATCCGATTCGTTGATCCTAAAGCATAAGGCACCGCAGCTTTCTGGCTTATTGTACCTTCCTAGTTCAGTGCAGTCGACTCAATCTTTCTTCTCTTGGTATATTCTCAGAAGAATTAGGGCGCTGCTGACTGTCGCTGCTAAGTTTCATTCCTGGGATTTTTGTACCCTAGATTGTCTTCATAGAGCGGTTGCTTCGCATTTGAAGGTTATATGGGTGACTGTTTCTTCCTTCTCATCGCATAATCTGCAAATGGTTTCATCGTTGAATATGCCCATGTTATGTAGATGTTTTCTCAGATGCTAGTTCCTGGTTAATAGTCCTATCACTCCTTTTTGTCTGGCCATTCTTCAATTGCAACAATGAGTTTGCCAGTCTTGGTGAGGGGTGTTTTAGCATAAATTTACTGTGTCTAGTGCCCCTAGAGTTTATCCATTTCTCTTTTTTTTTCGTTCTGAGATGGAGGATTCTGTCTTTGTTTTTGTTATCCCATGCAGGTTCAGGGTCTATATATGGTCTTGCAAATCCTCCTCTGGCCTTTGTGTCTGCTTTTTCCTTACCCAAAATTCCTTTTCTGGCACCCAAAATATCATCAGGTTGTTGTTTCCTCAGGTTTTGGAG